GCCTACCAAGGTACGTACATATATGACTTAATCCAGCAAAGGTGACCTCACACCCTTACGCCTTCCACTCCTCCGCCACAAACTCCACCCCAACCGGTCTCTTCAACAACTCCACATTCCTCACAAGCCTTACCTCCGCCGCCTTCGTCGCGCGCAGATACGCCCTCTTCTCCAGCGCCGCCTTGCGTTCTGCAGCAGACAGTCCCGCAAACTCAACCGCGTCCTCCGCTTGCTGCGCCTCGTCATGATCCGGTCGATACCGAGCTAGCTCGGCGCTACGCTCCTGCATGGTTTTTTCGAGGATACAGTGCATGATTGCGAGGACTTTTACGGTGGACTGGGCGAGGGGGAGTCTGGTGGCGGGGACCGTGTCTGGAGATTGCCAGGAGGGGGTATTGCGGAGGAGAGGGGTTGATGAGGGTGGAGATGATGATGATGGTGTAGTTGACTTGTTAGTGGAGCTGGGGTTTGAGTCGCGCTCAACATCATCTTGAGCATCAGCGGCGAACACGGCTTCTCGTAGCAGTGCTACAGTTAGCGCGGCGAACATGTCCCCTGTCCCGCTGAAGAAGCAGTCTAGGCGGGGGACTTCCACTTTGAAAAGGCGCGGGCTCCCGTCGGAGCGTGCGGTGGAACCGACTATGGTCAAGTTGTCGGGCCGCGAGGATCCTGGGTTAGTGGTGGTGCTGTCTGCTGCTGTGTATGGCAGTTGGACGGAGGTCACGATGATGTGAGGGACATTGTAGATGCGGTGGAGAGCCGTGATGGCATCAGTGAGATCGGAGAGGTAGGTTATCTTTATCCCGGAGAGGAGCCTATGGTAGGTATGTTAAGGTGTCTCTTTGTTGATACTCACTATTCAACGCTATGGGTAGAGGCCATGTGAAAAAGGGGTTGGTTGGCGTTATGGAATGATTTGCAGCACAGCCACAAAAAATAAAAAATAAAATTAAAAATAAAAAAGATTGAATGAATATATAACGACTTACTCTGCCTCAAATTGGTTGGGCAAGATCAAATCGGCATGTGGTATTATTCTTTTGTACGCAGGTACAACATCCTCGTTCACGTAGATCCGTCCCTGGTCACCCATTACCGGGTCAAGAACTGTTATAAAAAGTTCTATTCAGTATTCTCCTTTCTTAGGAAAGAGTTTTCCAAGGATGAAGGGAAACCAAAAAAAAAAAAAAAGCGCACCCCAGAAAAATGATCCCGGTTTTGAGCGCGATCTCCGGCGCAAGTCCATGGCAATTTCACCAACAGCGTCCACGGCTGCAGCGCTAGGCGCATATCCAGACAACAGGACATCAAAATCGGTCAGATAGTTTTGTTTCAGCCCAGCATACAGAGCAGTTATGTCTTGTGCAGTGGATTTCGTGCCTTTAACCTGGCCGTAGCCAGTGTGATTACCTGTGTGTGATTGTAGGCAGTGTGTAAGCAGGCGATCCGGAGCAATTATATATAGAAATGTTCAACAGGTAACTTCCCCTTTTCAAGGGGGATGATTTTGGGGGCTCACTAAAATGGACGGTATTTATGGCTGCGACTTCACATCCCAATGATTGCATGACGAACGTTGCCATCGTATTACCGACATATCTATTCCGTTTTTGCATAGGAAGCAAAATTAGAAAGGTGTCTCGCAGTGCAAAAAGAGTTAACAAGCATGACACTCATGCCGGGCATTTTTGCACATCAACAGGATGATTTAGGTTTCAGCAGACTCTGCAATATCTCTAAAAGACAGCCAAGTACATCAAGTACGTCAAGTATCTCCAATCCTCAATCAGAGTGTGCTTTGGAAAGAACAAAATTCAACAAGGGCAGAGTATATCAATAGGCAATTTACGGCGTTTAACAGATGTTATGTCAAAACATGATGTACAGGAAAGACAGAAGAAGCCACCCACCCATATGCCACCTTAACCAAAAGTCAGCCATGATCTTATTTGTACATAGGGGCAATCATATATGGGAGACCAGTGTGGGGATATGTCATACATGGCTTGCTATGGCCAGCACCCGGGTCTCAGGGTCCTGCGAATCCGACGTCATCTGAAAATACCAATATAGTACGAGTCAGGAATGCAGGAACTTGGGGATTGAAGGGATGGAAGTGATGAAAGAGGGGTAGAAAATGCTGCAAGGGCGGCAAATATGAACAGTATAACAAAATGAAATTGGTTCCCTTAGATGATTTATATATTTGAGAGAGTCTTGATTTGGGAGCTGTGAGGCTGCAACCTCGGACGCTGAGATTCATGAATTGGATGTGACTGACAACTGATCAACGGCGAGTCAAGTTTTGGAGTTTCGGCGGTTGGAGTTTATTATTACCTTAACTCAGCCTATTTAACCGTGGATCAGCCAGCCAGCCCATCGCAAGGTATTATACATATACGAGAACAGTTTATGTAGACCAACCTGTGTCGACGGAGACTTGACTCCTATAGGTTTGCACGACAAAGAGATGGAATTTCAACAGTGCATAACTAAGTCTGCACTTGATTAAAGCAGGCATTTTCATGCGCTGTTGTTCCATTAGTTCCACAACCCCGCGGGCATGGTGTTGTTCACTGCTTTCTATCAATCTTAGTTGGTGATATGCACTCCCTCCTCAGCTTGGTGTTTAATGGAATTCTGCCATATCTTCATGCCTGCAATGATGACGCTTCCGTCTCATCTCCAACGATTTTACGCCCTGAGTCCACTCCATTCATAGCTTGGTCTTCCGGTGGCTGAGACTTGAGATGACGGGGTTGTCGGAGCGGACAAATGTTGATCCAGCCACCAAGCTGCGTGCTTATGACTAAAGCCTGTTTTTCATTTCGTAACTAGTTAACTTAGCTAAACTAAGATCGTTAAACTGTTAACCCCTCGCTCAGCTTCAACTGCAACATCCGGCTTGTGTAAACATAAAGCCCACAGCTTCAATTGCTCTCCCACTCCCGTTGCCTGCTGGCCTAATATCCTCTGCTTCTGCTGACTGCACATATATAAACATTGGCCCCTTCAATTGGCCGTTCCACGACAAGCGGCATTCACACTAAACCATGGATCGCCCAATGCCCATAACGGTCCTCATCTCCGGCAACGGATCGAATTTCCAGGCTGTCATCGATGCAATCCGCGCCGGAGAACTCCCTGCCAAAATCGTCCGAGTAATATCTAACCGGAAAGATGCTTACGGGCTCGAGCGGGCCAAAAAGGCCAACATCCCTGCCCACTATCACAATCTAATGAAGTATAAGAAACAGCACCCGCCTACGGAAGAAGGGGTTAAACTGGCTCGTGAGGAATATGATAGAGAACTGGCAAGATTGGTTCTGGACGATTCTCCAGAGCTGGTTGTCTGTCTGGGGTTCATGCATGTGCTTTCCCCCACGTTCTTGGACCCGGTCAAAGGTGCAAAGGTCAAAGTCATCAATCTGCATCCCGCATTGCCTGGCCAGTTCACCGGTGCTGTAAGTGTATAATATACATGCGTGCATACATATAAGTGTCTAGTTCCCACAGCCATTGGATAAATGTAACCTATGCTGATTTCAACACGGCATATAGAATGCTATACAACGCGCCCATGCCGCCTGGCTGGAAGGAAAGATTGATCACACCGGAGTCATGATCCACGACGTCATACCCGAAGTGGATTTGGGAGTCCCCCTTCTTGTCAAGGAGATCCCCTTTATCAAGGGCGTTGACGAGGATCTGAGCGCCCTGGAGCAGAGAATCCACGAAGTGGAGTGGAAAGCCGTTATTGAAGGGGTGGGAATCGCTATTCGAGAGATTCATCTTATCAGAGGCTGCTCACTTCCGGAAAATAGGGTAGGCACCAACGGGACACAGGGGTGAGGGTGTATATATATATTGCGTGGTTGACTTGGTCATTGGAGACAGACTAATAGATCCCTCCAACCGTCGTTGGCGCCTGGTACGAAGAAGATGATATCCTAAAGGAAATTCAACATCGACATGTGAAACGAAGCTATGTATGACATTGATGGACACACCAAGGGGGCCACCTCTATTATTATTATAAGCAGTGGTATAATCACCCAATCCTTATCTTCATAGCTCGCTCGGTTGCGGCTTCACCGAATTGAGCGAAGAAGCCAACCCGCCTTTCGTTCAAAATTTGGTCTTAGATATGACCTATCCCAAGGAACGATGTATGCGGGGCGATGTTTGGAATCGGCCAAGCGAGTGGAACTTCCATAATATATCTAAACGTGGTGGATTCTCAGGGGTCAAAACGAAATGTATCGAACTGTCTGTGAGAGATCTATATTGCCATATCCTTTCTATCTCTCATATTATGTTACCTACGACGACAGGTAGCTAGCAGATTTTAGGAAATACCTAGTTATACCTGCACCATTTTTACCACTACAAACCTTCGGACATCCCCAGCTAAAAGTTCTCGCTTGAACCTTTCTTTCCAACTTCTGGATACTCGCCGGAATCTACGCAGTAGGAAAGCAATGAATACGAACCAGAAACATGACATATGCCCATAGCCAGCTCGGGGTTTGGTCTACTTCAATGGCGTAACGCCGACAAAATTGCATGATGCATGAATATAATCTTGATACCCTATCAAATTCATTCGAACGGGCTAGGAATTGGCGCCTTTCAGCCAACCTTGCCCGAGCAGACTATTGATAACAACTCACAAGGGAACCCTGGAATCACCTTAGCTGTTGTACACGTACCTAGCAAACTGAAAACATCTCATGGAGTGTTGGTAGAAAATGCCTCGCCCGCCCCATTGACCCATGTGCGCGCATCGGGTGAATAGCGGATCCAATCACGTGGAAATGTATAGTCGATTATTGTCTGGATATCCATCGTGGAATATCACCCCGCTCTCTGTTCCTGCAGTACTCCGTATGCATCTTTAGGGATCTATCTTTTTGGCTACATACCAGCATGGATGTATGAATGTGCCATGGACAGGTACGATGTATGTACTTCACATACACGTGCATATAATAGGCGCTATGCATGGATTTTCTGGCGCTGTGCATCTTGATCGTGGAGCGAGGCTAGAACGTCTTGCTGCTATCCAAAAGCTAGAGGGGTTCATGATTGAGGAATGTCACCCAATGCTGGCAGAAAGTCGGAGACGCCAGGACAAGAGGACAAGGATTCCACTCCAACGTCATCCTCCTGAAGCATCCATGTATGGCTGTCTGGCCTGCTTCGGAGAGGCTGATCTAGTCACCTACCTAATTATTTATGCCCTTTATATAGTCAGTGAGAGTTTTCCGAGTTCTAAGCGAAGAAAATAAGTTACGTTGACGGCGCTTATTCAGACCCCTGTGGCCCCTGTGGTTCAAAATGCGGAATACTGAATTTGGGTAAAATGGTTGAATGCGTGGGCATGTGTAAGCGGAATATTAAAGGTGCATGGGGTTTCTTAGATTTTATTCATACTCCGTGGGAAGTCCTTGTTGAAAGTGAGGAATGAGCATGGTGTTCAGTTGGTAGATGGCTGTGAAGTTGCTGCTAATGAACAGCAATGAAGATCCAGTAGAGATGCATCATCACATGAGCATGCATCATGTCGCCTTTCATAGACATGGCACCACACTTTGATTTGCTGATTATCAACCGCCTTTGGATGAAGCATTTGCAACACTCACAGTATTAAGTATCCATGGATAGTTCGAGAACAATGGCTCCTGGAGTCCAATGGTAAACTGATTCGGCCAGCGCCACTTTGTTAATCCTTAACTGCCAAATGTCAGTCAAACTACGGAGTAACAAGTTATTAACTAACTAAAATATCTGCCTATTATTCAGCGGCACCTTGCCAGCAAACCAACAAGATTATCTCCACAACTGCTATTATTAAGAATCAACTATCACCCCTTGGCTCGAATAACTACTCCTCTTCAGAGCCCAGCTCAAGTTGAGGCTTTCGGCTAAGGCTCCAAGAGGGCTATCTCTCCTAGCGTGGGTTGGTCGACCCCAGCTAAGGAGGGAATTGGTTACCTGCGACCAAGACAAATTTCGCTTAAATGCCACTATCACGCCTTGTGGGGTTCTGGGCCACGGGTAAAAAAGGGGTTATCGCGCGTAAAACTTCTCCAGGAATCCCACGACAGCCAGCGCCCGATGCTGGTTGATCCCGACAGCGAGAGGGAAGCGAGCTGGGGGGTTTGTTCGATCCATACAGCGGGGCTGCACGGATATTTCCAGCGTTCACATTTAGGATTCGACCATACATGCCATCATTGTTTGGATGGATGGATACAACATACTTGGTCATCCGATTGTGGTTGAGTGGGGAACCATCTCATGTCTCTGTTCATCCATAGGCAATGCTTGAACCACGAACATTATTGAAGGTCATGGCTGTATTTCGGCTCACGTTGGTTCGACATATTAAATGATAAACGCAATGCTATCCGTTTTGTCCTGGTGGGGCGGACATGCTGGCGGATGTTAACCTCAGCGAGAATCTCTTTGGACCTTGGGAGTTTTTTCCCTGCCATCAAACATTCATGGAATCTCGCCATGCACATGGTCATACTGAGTAGTGCATGGGGATATGAAAAGGCACAAATAACTAGTCATCAATTGTCAACTATACAAAGGCCTAAACGGTCTACAGTGCAACCCTGTATCCTGTTGCACCCAGGATGCTACAACATTGATATTCGACTTTCTTACCACTGGAATCCCTGAGGATCGAGCAGACCCCTAAATGAATCACCCACAATAATCAGCAACGACCAGGTTTCACGGTGTTCAGCAGCACGCAAGATTGTGCCAAGCAATTCACTTAATAATTTTAATGATGCTAACGGGGGATTATTCGCGCTTTTGCCATAAACACTCCGCACATGACAGTGACCATCGGGATACGTGGACGCCATCGTTACTACGTTTATTCTCTCCATCATTTGTTGGCCAAATGGAGGATCATTAATTACCACCAGGGCAACAGGATGATATTATCATTTGTGTGGTATCTCGACTAATATTATAAACTGGAGCTGACAATATTTTCGTTTCCTCCACGTCTCCTCCAGAGCTTCTCTATGAATAACGAGGGTGAGGTGGGGACCATCGGCCCTAATTGGATCTCCTGACAGATCACAATCACAGCCTCTTTCTGGAATCTTTCTTACCCAACCCGCAAGCTCGTGTCTTATTTTAGGGTTCCAGACCACGCCACCCCTCGCCGTTTAATTACTCTACTGTGTAGGGTCTTCCCATGCTTGACGGACTCGAGGCCGCTGCCAAACAAAACTCTGTGCTGCTTTTACCAGATTCTGGCGTAAACGCTTTGCTCGCTTTGCTACTTCTCATATAGGGAGTATTTCGCCAAAGAAAAAGTCCATCATCCCTTCTCCTTCACTCTGCGTTTTCACTGTGCTTTAATCAGGGTGTGGTTCAGAGCAAATAGACACCGCGGATATCTGCGTTTACTTGCGCTGGCTCAAATCACTGACATGATCTAATCTCATTGTTGATTTGGACCTGGGTTCCGCTTCCAACCCCGACCACCTCCACACTCGTTTAGTATCCATTCGTTTTTTCCTTCATGAGTTTTTCTACGGAGATGTTCACTTGACATCTCTGTACAAGCCTGAGTATTCCCACGATCTCTACCTTTTGGCTTGACTATTCTTCTTTTAATATTAATTATGTCTCTGCTGCGGCAGCGGTGGAGGTCCCGACCTAGCTGGCGGTGTCCAATGCCAGCGTCAATGCATGCTTCTGTTTCGCCTTCAGTGTCGCTCCTGACCTGCCTTTTGTTGCTTGTCTTGTGCTCATCTCCAGCATTTGCCATGCCACAATCTCCTGCGAAACAGCAAGGAGTCATCGTAAACCAATTTGTTGAGGTTCCTGGCGCTAATCACCGCGTTGATTATTCGTTGATGGAGAATAAAAACGGGGGCGGCGATCTGAGGGAGATCTTTGTCGATCTCCATACCATCCCTGCAGAACCACGCAGTGAAGTTCCTCTACAACGACGGGGCGATCCTCAAAACAGAGTAAAGGCCAGGGCGGGTGAAGGATCCTCTTCAACTTCCATTGTCAGCTCCACCACAAAAGCGTCATCAACTTCATCGGAACCAACAAAGGGTTCTTCTTCCTCCACATCCGCATCAACATCCGTATCCACCTCCACATCTGACCCCACGACAAAATATTCTGGACCCACCAAGACAGACTCTCCCACCCCAACGGGCTCAGCCAATGATACCCCCCTCCCCAGTCCTTTCGACAGTAATCTGGGTTCCAATTTCACAAACCCCGCTTGCCCCATATTCTTTCAAGATTTCCTCACCAACTCCTCCTTCCAGAACTGTTATCCTGTCTCCCTTCTTCTTCAATCCTCTCTCTCTTTCTTTGAAGCGTCGCGCTCCGTTGCTCGCCTCTCCCGAATCCTGGACGCCGCCTGCTCTGCTCCCCGAGATGACTGCAAAGCAATCATGAGCGACCTAGCCGCGAAACTCACCTCCAAGGAAGTTTGTGGCGAGGATCTTAGGCTCCAGCAGCCTATCGTCATTCAAGCACACAACGGTCTCCGCGCATACACGGCAGTTTACGACGCCATGTGCCTCAAATCCCCGGACACTCATAACTACTGCTTCTCTGATGCGGTCGTAAATGGCACCAATCCGTCCAATTCGTTCATATACTACTTACCCCTAGGCATGAATCTGCCAGGCTCCAGTCGCCCGACTTGTAACAAGTGTCTACAGGCAACGATGCAGTCCTTTTCTCGCGCGGCAACGACAGATAACCAACCCATCGTGAAAACATATATGCCTGCTGCCAATCAAATCAATATTAATTGTGGGCCGGCCTTTGTTGTCTCAGCGGTTAAAGTTGGTAAGGATACAGGGGCCGGGTCGACAACGAGGATGGTGAAGGTGACCTCTTTACTGAGGATTATGGGTTATATGATCCTATTTTGTGTCGGGATGCCATTACTTGGTGGACTTCTATGATAATGTGTTTTTATTCTTCTTGCTATCCATATTTATTATGTTTTTTTGATTTTTGATTTTTGATTCTTATATTACATATACCTTCTTGAGCATATTGGGATAATAAATTGGGAGCAATGGTGGACAACTTTATGTTTTGTATTTATATTTGCATTCGTTCTTCTTTCCCAAGTGTAAGAAAGCTCATTCACATTGTCTCCAATCCCTCTTCAACAGATTCCCTCCACGAGTATCCGCACATGGTGGCTGAAGGAATATATCTCTAACCTTCCAGACATCGTATCCATCTAATCTGACGGTGACGGCAGCACCCTCACCCACAACTGATGACTTGTTCTATCCTATTCAAACGGAGTTGCTACCCGCTGATTGTTATATATCTTTTTCTCCCCAATTCTGACCAAGTGGCTGGCTTTAGTTCACACTAGCCATCTATGCATGGTGCATTGATATACGAGTCCCCTGACCGGATATGTTCAGCAAACAAAAAAATTCCAAAAGCTTTTACATGCTTGTACCTATCTCTTGGGGTTAACATGGATGTGAACGGAAAATATACGCAATATACTTCCATAATTAGGTTTCCCCGATATCATTCTCATGTCGTACACTGGAAAACTACGGAAGGGCAATGGAATAGAATGCCTTGTAGCTCCAGTTCTTTCGTCAGGAGCGGAATTACCGTAATTTAACCATATGGCTAACATCCCCTGTGTACCACAACGCGATATAGTTACCCGTATTTACTATAGATACCCTGACAGCGCTTGCATGCATATATATCCTTCTTGGTTGTTTCTCCGAACACTTCAACTTCTGCCCCTTCCAGCAATCTCATACTTCATCCTCCATCCGTTAAACAGGCCCAGTCGTCCAAAAGCATCCTTATGAAAGAAAAGACCAACCTAGGCTGATATTACATCTATCGCGCGAGTCGGAGAGAACCAATATACTTACTTTTTCCCTCCATATCTTCATCCACTGTCCAGTTTTTCAGTTTTCGCATCTTCCCTATCAGCCATCAGAACCCCCGCCCATGTCACGGACGAATGCAGGATACTTTTTGAATGGGCGCAGCAACCCCCCGAGAGTATTACCCCGGGGACCATTCTCGGTATGATCGCAGAACATTCCAAATTGTTCTCCAATGGACGAAGCCACGTCGTCGATCTGATGGTATTTGGCCTGTATCGTCTAATAGATACAAGATGAGAGCCTTCTAATTGTCGACATGGAGGTGGATAAGCTCCTGGCCACGGGATTTTCTGACGGATAGAAGTTTTAGGTTATATTGGGTAGTTGGATTCTGCAGAGGGATTTGGTTCTGGGAGAGCAGGAGTCAACGCACTGGAAACCTCCGTGAACGTTTGAGGGTTTATGAGCAGAACCAGGCATGGCATTGAACAGGTTTCGTGTAGTGATACCATAGGCATTAGATCGTGGACCAGTATGTGCTGTCAGCGGTGTTAAAAGTATTCCGCCTTGATGTTCCTTTTCCCCCGTACTTCTTGTTGATGGGGCCAGGGGAGTTCGAGGTAGCGATTTCATTGTAGTTCCTGCGGTGGAGTTGTCCCCTTGCGTAGCTGGTTTGGCCAAATTATGGTCTCTGAAGAATTTGTGAAAGAAATTGGTTCGGAAAATATGTGTAGCCTGAAAATAACAAAAGAAACAAATGAATATTTACTTCCGCGTATCAGCTCTTCCGTCAGGCAATAGGCATCAAATCATAATACGAGCAGTAGTTTGCGACTCGTAGTTTGCATTTTGCGCAAAAAAGGATAACTACATATCTAGATACATATATTAAGGGTATTCGTTTCAGTTTTCCTAACAAATAAGGATAATGACATTACGGAGACAAGGAAAAGCAAACCTTATAAGATGTAGAACAATGGCCGTCTTAGCACCTTCGTAGTCAAAAGCAGAATATCAAAAATTCCATCCATACAAATCAGAACACGAAGTGAGATAGATAGAAATGCGAAACCAAGTGGAGAAATAGGTGCGTGTAATGTGTTGGAGGGGAGGGAGTGAGGGATAAATACCTTGTATGAAAAGCCGCAGAGAGGTTGATGCTAATGACAATAATACAGAATGGCTTTTAGTTTTCGATATATATGCATTACAGATGCCAAGATGGGCCAATATGGCTAAATGGAAATATATATCGTAGGTAAATGATTTATTTGTGTTGGATATCATGGGAAGATAAGCACTAAGCGTGTGGTGTAGTTATGGATCATGAGCGATCAAAGTAAAAGAAATCTTCATTGGACAGGATTGGAAAACGTCATGGATGGGTGAAACAAGGATTTGAGGGGAATTGAAGCTATAGCTACCACCACGAAAAATGTGTAGTTTATGCGCGACTTGTATCAGGTCATAAAAGGGAGGGTATTTGCGGACCACGGGAGAGGGGGCTATGAAAGTCTAGCTTCTTCTGCCCCATGCTTTCGCAGATGATGAGTCTGTCAAAGACGCTCTACCAAAGTTCTGCGGATCTTCAGTTGGGCTACATTTCTCCGCATCCCTGTCCCTTTTTACTCTAAAATAAGCAAGCTTCGTGAACCTGCTTAGCTGTGCCCAGAAATGACGTCCAGCTTCATGCGCAGAAATCCGGTCCAACAGGTCGACAACTGCTTCTCGTACGGTTAAATTGGGGTGGAATAGGCCCATTGAGATGTAAAACAGGCCCGCCTGACTCTCCGGTGTGACTGTTAGAAGTTGGCATATCGAACTGTAATCATTGCAAACGCGAGAGAGGGCGAGATAGATCTGTGCTGAGTCTGCGTGGCTAAGTTTAAGCAAGCGCAGCCGATCGTGATGGTGGTGGATGTCGATGGATTGGACGGGTCTTCCAACTAGATAGAGTGCAGCTGTATCTTGGATGAAGTAGTAATATGAGCGTGTGTTTCTCCAGCCTTCGATTCGGGATACCCAGGCTGTTAGTTCGCGTTGTTTGGTGGCAACATCGGGCCAGACGTATCCATGCCCGCGTAGGGGCGTTGGATCGGAAGGGTCGGATTGGCGACCAGATCGACCATCAGCGGAATCCCCACCAGAAATCATGATGTGGAGTGCCGTAGCTCCATAGACGGTTTGCTCGAATGTGGCGGAAATCCTGGTAAATTTTGTGATGTAAGCCCGCCATTTTGCACGAATCGCCCACTCTCCGTGGCGTGATGCAATACTATGGAGGATATCCTCCATGAAAGCGGAGTCGCCTGTTAGATCGGCTGAGGAAGGTGCGGAATTGAGCACAGAGGGAGCGGTTAAGTTTTGCTGTTGAAAATACAGAAATCCCTCCGAAACGGGAGCAGGTTCGATACAACTGCTTATTTTCATGCGGCCGCTGGGAAGATCACAGAGAAGGTCCCACCACTCGGGATGGTTAGCAAAAGCTGGGTTAGTGACTCCAGCCACAAAACCGGGAACTTTCAACAGTTCATCTATTTTAGTGAGATCAGTATATGGAAAGGCATGCCGTGTAAAGCCACGGAGTATGCCTCCCGATGCTAAAGAACATGCTGCAAGAACCGCCTCAGCAACTTCACCGGACGGTCGATTGTGACCCAGAAAAATAACACGTTTTTGAGTAAGCAAAGCATTAACCAAGACGATTATAGGATGCGTATATGCTCCGCTGCTCGTAAGGTGAGAGTGGAGGGCAAAGGGTTGAGGTGAGCTGGAATGAGGTCCACCAAAAGTTTGGATGAGTTTGATGAGAGAGAAGTCACCGACTGTTTCCGGTGAAATGGCAGAAGGAACTTTGACTGGAATTGCAATATCGTTATAAATAATTTTGGACTCAAATTCATGGGTATCTCTGGGGAGGGCGTATTTCGGGGTGGATAAGCTTCTTTGAGGAGATCCGTTGCTGTCGTGAGAGATCCTTTCCTCAGCTAACCTTTGCTTAACCATTTGCTCGAATTTTTCAATAAACATGTCTTTTGCGTCACTAGCCTGTAGGATATGGCGTTCAAGGTAGGTAAGTCGGGGTAACAGTGAAAGGTCCATTGCATTCAGTGAGTTATACAAGGCTGCCAGTGTTTCCGGGAACGGTGATTTAAAATAATCTTCCAATGCCAATAGGAGTAAGGGCTAGAATGGTCAGCCGATAAAGGCTAATTAACATTGAAATGAGGATGTTGCATCTGTGTGACAAACCTTATATATATGAAGAAAAGAATGCCGTGTACATATTGCCATGGCCTTAACTACAGCTCCCCTAAAAAAATAACATCAGAGGTAAGCAGAGAGAATGAATGCAACGGGAGGCAACGGGGTCAGTCATATACATACCGCTTTACTGATGTATCTTGTTTTGTGTTGACAAGATTTAACACATACATGAGCGGGGGACCTTCCCCATTTTCTTCGTCCTCGTCCTCGACCTCGTCTTCATCGCCCACTGATACCTCAGAACCACCATCATTCAAACCCTCATTCTCTTGTCTTATCCTACTATTTGCGGCTTGTTGGTCCACGGAGGAATCTCCACACTCCTGCTCTTCCTCCGACCCCGCATCCTTGTGAAGGAAAAATATAGTCCAGTCCTGACTGCGAACATGAGTTTGATCAGGTAACATGAGCTCCGCCAACATATTTTCATCACCGCTGATCGCACTGGGATATTGGTGTTCCATGATTGGACCGCGGTCCACGTGGAACGAAGCCACAAGGATATACTCGACATGCAGCTCGGGAGAGTCTAGAGGATATTGAGATTTTAGTCTCCGTCGTTTGGCCTGGAAGCTATTGTATGATCGAGTAGAACGTGGTCGTAAGGATGACATCGAGCTATTTGGCGATCTCCGGTGCAGAGATGTCTGGGAAGGAAGTTTTCGAGGTCCATTTTGGTTGGATTTGCTGGAGGTGGAGGCACTGGAGGTGGGGAGTGACGCAAACGAAGTACGTCGCTCACCAGACAAGCGGTCTGAAGGAAGACGGTGGGATACACCACTCATGATTGGGATGTGTAGAGGAGAATATTGCGCCGGTGAGCGAGAATGAATAACATGAGCATACTCATGTCTGGTGATGTATAGTTTAGTTAGCTAATCGGTAGGCAGGTTGGCTTGTTTAGACCTTAGCGGGCAGCATACCATAGATGGTGGTAAATCGTCGTCGGGGTAGAGAAAGTTCAGGGGCAGGTGTTCACGGTACCGAAAGCCAAAAGACGTACCACGGCGTTATCTCGGAGGGCCCAATCAAGCCATCCCGCCGCAGACGCAGCAACCGAAACCAGATGTGTGGCAATGGCTGTAATCCATTATCCTGGAGGTATCTGGATGTGAATATCATAAATGTTATGTTGTTGTAAGATGGATGTTGTCTATCTGCTTCGATTTCACCGTCTTCATTCATGTGTCTCCGAGCGTGCACGTGCCACATGGCGGGTGGTTAGGTAAGCGGTCCCGGATAATCAATAGTCCGATTGTTTACTTCGGATGAATGATATCAGACAAGGCTTATTATCTGCAGCAACGAACAACGACAAACTACCAAGACAGCAATAACAACTACGACACAGAAACAGTATTTTATTTGGGAATGGAATCCTAGAGAGAAGAATCATTTTGATAGTGTTTTTGATGTACATACATCGCCAATATGGTAAGATCGCATTCATCAGCATCTTGAATGCTATTACTTCCCCTGATGAATTCCAATAACATCATTCTGTTCGCAGGTCACACCTAATACGACACCTTACAAACCCTCTCCTCTCTCCTTTGGTTCGACTCGCACTTCTCCGTTCCGACGACCATCCGTTGCTGCTTCTCCCACTACAGTTATCCGTCCCAATACCGCTGGCAGTCCTGGCAGCAAGGCGACCACGCCCATCCAGTCCCCCAGCAAACTAAATCAATTGCATGCTGCAGACAATGTACCTGTCTTCTCAGATACCCAGATTTCTCCATTGGCCCAAAAGTCCAGGGAAATCGCAGCATCACCAACTAGAGCGTCCCATGTGCGAACCGGCAGCACATCTTCAACGATGGAATTGAAAGTGGCAGACCGATCAGCCATGAACAATGACACTCTGGGCAAATTACCACCAGCCCAGCTACGGGAAATGCGCGAAGCCTTCCAGGTTCTCGATCGTGACAATGACGGGCAGGTCAATCGGGACGATGTTGTCGATATTCTGGTCAAGTTAGGTATAGCCAAAACCTATCCTACATGATTAGCGATGCCACAAAAAATTATTTTCTGGCGTAACTAACCCTGTCTCTCCGGTTTAGGACAAGATTCCTCCCCGTTAGTTGCTTCTCAGTACTTCCCACCCGGGGCACCGCAAACGCTCAACCTCCCAACATATCTGAACTCAATAGCGAATCTGCTTGCTCCGCTCTCGTCCGCACAGGAGCTTCTTAACGCACTTGCAGCTTTTGATGAAGATGACAGCGGCCAAATAGACCTGGAAGAGCTTCGGGATGCGCTGCTTAGCACAAGTCCCGACGCGGGCGAGAGTCCGCTGACAGCGAGAGAAGTGGACGAAGTGGTCAAAGGGTTTACTGGCAGGAGGGCATTTGGATCGAAGGGAACGAGATCAACCGGGTTTGGCGGAGCAGCAAATCGATCAGAGGTATTTCGGTATCAAGAATTTGTTGGTAGCCTGACGGGTAGCACGGCAGTCACCGCAACAGCCGCTGTCGGACAAGGTGGTATCGCAAAGGAACAGTGAATAAACAATGCATGGTGATGATGACATTTTGTTATTTTATTTCACTTTACTTTATCCTTTTGGGTTTGGACAGGCGTATCGGGAGTTGCTTGGGTTAAATGCATGATAATCAGCCTTTATCACAGGGTAACTATAGATATAAATATATACAATATCACGTACTCCATATACAATGGTCAACATATCGTTGAATGAAAGTTCAAGTTTAATAATCACTTAATCCGGGATAACATTCTCCCGCAGCGTCCACGTGCTGTGTATTATTTAAGCAAGGCGCCAAGACCCACGCCAAGGTTGCTTTCCCCACACGCAACAACAACTACAACAACAACAACAACCAGCTTATTGATGTGTATTCTGGCATATATATGGATTGAGGCGATGTGTACAGAGGAATCCAACAGCACAATCAGCAGCTCAAAGAATGGCTGGATAGCTGGGTTACCACCTCTGTCTGAGCTGCCACAGTATATACAATTCCTAGTAGTTGTCTCTGGGAGCCATGATATCGGCCGGTCCCCATCTTCCTTGCATCGTTAATCCACCCCGCTATTTCTCCGGACCAACAAGTTTACCACGCTGAATCCACAATGAGCTCGAAACACCAGCCCCAGTTCCAGTTACCCTCCGTGGCGGGTTCTCCAACTTCACCGCAGGCCGTTCGAACGCTCCGTAGATTTCAATCGCATCAAAGCCTCATTTCAAACACCTCAACTTTCCCTCATAATCCGCGCCAGCCACTCCAGCGCAGTCCCGCCAGCTATCGAGACCGTCCTGAAGAAAATGCAGAACGTCAAAATAATACGGAGGCCCCTACGTTTCTGACTCGTACTCGAACCAGATCCAATAGCGATGTTACTTCAAACAGCATTGCTGCCCTACAACAGCATCAACAATATCAGCAACAACAAAACCGTAGGCGACCTGCTGGTGGAAGAAAATCTGGTTCCTTGGGTTTCGTGGGGAGACGGTCGAGTCTAGATATCTTGCTAAGAGATGGTCCGTCTGTGGATGGTATGGCTGCAGGCTTACAGGATCTAAGGTACCTCGTTTTGTCCAATAGAGTCGATTCCGACGGTGATGGAATGGTATGATATTTCACATCTGTTGAGCATCTTAGTATTTCGCTTTCCAGTTGACTCAATAATTTCCTCAGTCACCACATCGCATATACCTCTGGTTAGCGCTTCTTAATATTGCGCCTCTGCCAACGGATGAGTACCTGTCCCTCGTCCATCGGGGACGCTCCCCCGCATATACTAAGATTCGCAATGATACTTTCCGAACTCTAGCCACGGACCCGCTTTTCAAACGTCGAGTTACGGAGGCAAGCCTGATTCGCCTGCTGAACGCCGTTGCCTGGAAGATACATGACTCAAAAGAAGAGACTGCGAAACTTCACATATCCCAACAGGAACATCACGCTAGGAACCTTTCCCTAGAACCTTCTCCATCTTCAACTGATGGATTTTCCTCCACTCCCTGTAACACACCTTCTACGACATCACACGCAACATCCGAATCCGCAATTTACGTGCAGGGAATGAACGTTCTTTGCGCGCCATTTCTCTACGCTTCCAGAAGCGAAGTGGAGGCCTTTGCCCTCTTCCATTACTTTGTCACCAGAGAATGCCCTGGATATGTCAGGGGTACCATGGACGGTGTACACAAGGGACTAAAGCTCGTGGATAAATGTTTGGAGGTCGTCGAGCCCAAACTCGCAAACCATCTTTTTGGCAAGGGGATGTATGCTGAATTATATGCATTCCCGTCCGTTCTTACTCTTTGCGCTTGCACACCGCCTCTACCTGAGGTTCTGCATCTGTGGGATTTTCTTTTCGCTTATGGACCGCATTTACATATTTTGTGCATCGTCGCTCAGTTGATTAGGATGCGGGATCACATTTTAGCTAGTCCAAGGTGTGTACTATGCTCTTTTTTTCGGGTTGAGCCGTATCTTCTCTGACTCATAAATGAGATCTAACTGACATATGAGGCTGTAGTCCGAATAAAATTCTCCGCGTGTTTCCCGCACTAGACGCCAAAGAGATCATTGCGCTTACTGTCCTAATAGTACGAAAGATTCCTGATGATTTATACGAGGAACTTGTCGTTCACGCTCAGTAAATCCATTACCCATCAATGGGAGCCTCTTGACTCCCTTCCAAGCTGCGCACAAACGCCTCCATTTTCTTATCCTCCTCTGCGACGAATTCATGTTCCTTCACCATCGAGGAGATCTTCTGACAATGAAATTATTATACCGTTTCTCCCTCTTTCCATTTTGATCTCTAACATTCCCGCCGTTGTTCATTCGAAATGTCCTTATATTCTCTCGCATAAATTTTATTTTGCTCAGATACGACAAGTGTGTATATTAGGCCTTGCAATGCTGATAATGATGATATGATGATATAATGAAAAAAAGATGGTCTTGTTATTCGGTTGTTATATCAGTTTATTGATCTCTAATTTTTTGTCCCTCTCTATTGGAGGTCATATCTAATTCTAAATGTTAACAACAAGACGTAAAATCACTCCTACGCCAAAACGTATTCCAAATGCATCATAAAAGTATACCACTAGGTTAGAAAACAGAGGGTGGGAGAGAGAAGTTCAGTTCTTCAGAACCCCTTCACCTCTCTCGTCTCTCTCCTCCCACATACACCTCTCACACAGACACGTACCCCCCAACGCCCCCCTTGCCCACTCCCTCCTCTCCCTCACCCCCAACCCCACATCACAATAATAATTTAAAATCTCTTCCCCCTTCCTAATCCCCCTCCCCCTGCCGCTTCCTACCTCAACCTCTCCACCCCTACCCCCCCATCTAACCCTCTCCTCTTCCCCCCTAGCTGTAAACGTAATCTTCCCACCCCATTCCCAACGCACATTCGGATCACAGGAATGGTTCGCCAGACACCAGAGCGGGTGCACGGCGCAGACTTCCGGGCCCCCATCCCAGGTTGACAGGCGGCCTGAGGCCGTACCGCGGAATTTGGCGTAGAGGGTGTTTAGGATCCAGGTGTCGTAGAGGGGGAGGGTGGTGAAGGGATCCAGCCCCATTTCTTCGAGGAGGCGGGTGGGTTGGAGGATTGTTAGGTGGAAGGAGAAGGGGAGGGTTGCCGAAGGGGGTTGGGAGGATTGGAGAGGTGATGGTGATGATGGAGGAAGAAGAGGAGGTGGAGGCGGTGGAGGTGGTGGGAGCAACCCATCATCGAGCGGGTAGAAATCGCCCCAGATGTACTTTACCTCCTGCAAGTCTAGTGGATGTATGCGCTGCGTGGCCACCATGGCGATGGCGCGGCGTAGCAGGAGAAGATATAAGTAATCGGCCTTATCTTTCGGGTCCTGGATGTCCTTTCCAATGGCCTCGAGGCCCTCTTTCCCACACTCGGCTGGGTGGTAGATACTCTGAGCGAGATCGTGACACTCCTGGCTGCAAAATACGGTATCTTGGCAATTCTCGCAGGCGACGGAGGGGTCTGCGGCGGAGAGATCCGGGATTGGTCCGTTGCAAGCATCGCACAGGTCGTCATGTAGGCGATTCGTCGCGGTTAGGAAGGATGACTCGTGGAGGAAAGTCTCTCCAGGCGCGATGTTTTGAGTTGCTACTAAACCGAGTTGGACGGAAGTTTTTTCTCCTTCTCCCCCTTTACCAGCTGCTGTGCTGTCTGTGGTACTATCATATAGTGCAGGCAGGGCGATGGAGCGCACTTCGCATTTGGGAGCCACTTTCTTAAGCCTTTCATTCAGCAGCTGCAAAGTCTCAGGCGCGTGGCGGTCTGGCTCGTGTGTGTTCCAGGGATACAAAACCCTCCTCGCAAACCCCTGACCGTCGAGATGCGCAGGCTCAAATTCTGCCAGCAGCTCGTCATCGGTTTCTTGTTCTTGGTCTTCAATAGCAGAACTAAGCACCCGTCTCTCTCTCCGCTTCCGGGACCGCAGGGATGCCACACACGAGCGTTTGATGGTATTCAGCTGCTCTTCTAACTCATCGAAGCTGCATTTAAAGTCAACGCCGGACAGGTTCATAGCTTGTATGCAGAAATGATATGCATCTCTCATACAACCACACTGAACAAGGCTTTTCACGAGCAAGATGTACACCTGCCATATATGCTCCGTATATTCGTCTTGAGAAACGGGTTCAAAACAGACCTCCTCTTCATCTTCTTCATCACCGTCTTCAGAATTGCCATGATCATTACCACTGCTCTTCTCAGCATCTCGAATATGCCTGCTCGCAACCCCATCCACAAACCCAAGGGAACCAATCGAATCCACGGAATCCAACCCCACCCTTTTATGTGCCTTGTACTCGCTAGAATCCGGATCAATCACAGCCTCAAACAAAGTCAGCGCACGATATGCATCAGCAGCTGCAAGATCGGGGTATCCAAGCTCAAAATGCACCGTGCCACGCTGAAGATGTCTCATGGGGTTGTGGGGGTCTGCGTAAAGTAAAGCGGTGGCATCCTCACGCTGTTTAAGGAGGGCGATGCCGGCACTTTTGTTCTTCGTCTTGTCAATGTCGTAGCTGTTGAAGCTGTTGATTTGGACAGACATCTTTAGTGGGCACGCCTGCTTTCAGAGTAGGGAATGCTAAACGGCTAAAATGAAGAATTTCCAAATGCGCTTTTTTTTTTTTTTTTTTTTTTTTTTTTTCCAGTTATTGAGTATTTCGAGAGACAAAATGAAAACCCGATTTGTCCTCTTTTTTGAGAGAAGATGACCCCTTGGTTTTCTCCCTCCCTTTTTTTGTCCTGTTGGATGAGATCAAATGCCCTGTAGTGATCACCTGCGCAACACTGCTCTGGTTTGCACTTTAGCAACCTGCAATTCCCCGAGCTGCCTGTACAGAATCTCTATTTAAAACAAATTTAAATATAATAAGAATGCTACAATGGTCTATTCTCAGCTTGTTCCAAGATGAAGGGGGAAAGGTAAAAAAAAAAAAAAAAAAAATATCGATTCCATGTGACTTTCCACCCTAAATCAACTCTGGGAATGTTAGGATGGATCCATTGATGGCACAACGGATATTTAGTGGCGGACTTCCGGAACTGATAACCTCGATTTGATCAAACTCGCTACGGAAAAGAGTTCAGTACTGATATTCTTTGTGCCAACACATAAAAATAATCCTGCAGATAATTGATTATACGGGATTTACAATATTGTCCGCTTTTGCAATCATATACCCCAATTCAGCTCACAAAAAAGCCATCACAAAATGAAAAGAATGCAGATATGCTAAAAATTAAAATATGCAATGTGCCGTTATTTTGTGCAGTTAATAGAATATTAATAAAATGGCGGCAATGCCCGTTGCGGGAATGCCCAACAACGCCGTGTCTATGGAGTACGTTTCATCAATCAAATGTGGGAAAGGAGTCGAGTTTGTACTTCGTTCTACTCGAGGGAAAAGGCCGTCACGGCGAAACCAGAAAGCCCATTCACATAACCTGCAAACAGTCAATATTTTGTCTCCACATTCACGCCAGCATTCTAACCAGCAGGAGTGGGTAAATTAGAATGGGAATGAAAGAGCTATATTTCAACTCACGTTGCAATTTTCATCCAAGACGATGGTCCCGCCTTCCCCCCCCTCCGGGGTATCCACGGTGCCTCGAATAACTTGTCTTTCTCTCAGCGTGGCAGCGAGTCGGGCCAGCATACCCCTCTAAATAATCCAAGAAAAGGAAATCAAATAAGCATCAAGAATATTGAAGAGAACCCCACCCAAAAAAAAAAAAATTAAGCACGGGTAAGAGTATTTTGTTATAACAAAAAGGGGACAAATGGGTTTCTATTATTATGAGAACCACGACTCCCATTCAGAGAATGATACCGTTGTCCTGTGCTCGGTGAAGGATTCTATCCCACGTACCGTGATGAAGGCTTCGTTCATCCCTCCCTGCCGGTTGATGTCATTTTGGCTCATGATCTGGTAGCTGTCCTGCATGCACTTCCGGCTTTTAAGCCCATGTTCTTGACGACCGGTTTGGTTTCCTCCAAGGTGATTTCCATAAACAATGTTAGCTTGCGCATCGGGATCCGCAATATTAATTCCAAGGCGGGCGTTATTCTGAGCATGAGCGTCCGGGGAGAATATTTTGATAGTTCGATCGATTCCTGAAACTGCAAGTGTTGGTTCATAGGGGTGGCCTGCAAAATTTTTTCTTAGCTAATTAGACCTCTAAGATGAATTTGGTGACAGATTAAATCCTACCTTGAACAACATTGACAACGTCACTATCTCCCTCCAAGATGTTGACCAAATCCGAAGTTTTCCGGTCCCAAATGAATACATGCCCAGAGTCGCTACCGCTGACCACATATTCGTCATCTAATCCAAAATAATTCACGTCTTTAACCGTTTTGATATTGCAATGGCCCCTGTAAACGTTAATATGTGAGTAGCATGGAACGTTGCTTTCAACCATATTCCGTTGTCCTGCACCCCGACGGACGAATAGGCGACCACTATCTACACCAAATTCGTCACTATCAGAATCACTTTCGTCATGGCCCTCATCGTCAGACTCCGAGAGATAATCATCTGCGTCTTCCGAATCGTCATTGCCAAGATCTGAATCGTCTTCGTTAGAATCGCCATCTATCTCGTTTTGTCCTGCCGAGTCAGGCACGGGTGACTCTGGATTGTGTGGAGTTTGGTCACTCCTAGGAGTGCTTGCTTGGCGATGTCGTCTTCTTCTTTCTTGATCTCTGCGACTGACCAGCCTGACCTCCTCAATCTGCTCCTCTTCTTCATCGGGATCAATATCCTCCTGGACTTTTTCCCATTGATCATCGTCTTTGTCTTCTTCCTCAATAGTAGTCCGAATACCACCAAAAGCGCGGTTAACAAACTCGAAGTTGACACCCTCACCAACCTCCATGAGAATTCCCCTCCCAACTTTGAGGCCCCAAAATCGATAAGAAGCACGCCGGTCCAAGGCTTGCAGGTTTGTCCTATTCTCGCTACTCCCCCCATTTTTTTCAGCTGCTAAAGCCGCGGCACTCCCTGACAGGTCCTCCAAGGGCAATTTTATGGCTTCAGCAAATGCGTTGACAGCAGCAGATTGCGAGTCGAACAAGACACGAGAGGAATCATGTTCAAATCTGGAAGCATCAACATTGATGACAGCCTCGCTACCAGCCAGATTCTGAAAATATGGAATCAAGATGGTTTCAATGGAGTCGTCTTCTGCATGTTCCGGAATGGGATATCTCGCACTGTCATGCCGATGGGCATGACTCCATCGGAAGCCGCGCAAAAGTGCCTCACGTCCACCTTCGAGCCAAAGTATAATTGCTTTTAGGAAGTCGTACCCAAATTGGGCTGAAGGGTCTATCGTTCCGTTTTCAGTTGGGGCAGGCACTATTTCGCGGAATAATTCCAGCTGAGGACTATCTAAATCTGATGGAGTCTGAAGTCTCCCTCCGAGCACCCTTGCTAAGGCGCCTGAAGCCTGAACGAAGCGACGGGAAGTTTCACGGTTTCTCCGCAATGCCTGCTGAAATATAACGTCATCACGGGACGGATTGAGGGGATATCTCCAAGTCCTGATGACCTCATCCATTTCAGACAGACATGTTGCTGCATAGCCTAAAATAGACGTAAAAGATGCTGTGAACGGTGTTAGTTCGGTTTCAGCAGCCACCCTCACCGACGCATCAACAGAAAATAGCAGTTTTCTAATTTCAACAAGAGTCTTCGCAATTCTCAAGCTCAACTTTTGGGCCTCATTGAGAACCGACTCCCGCGCCCTTTCTATCAATTCCGAAGTGGCGTCTTGATCATTCCCTGCGAGCGAATCGAGCGGGATATTCTCAGAGTAGCCATTACCATATCGAACTCTGAAGGACATATCTTCACCGTCGAGTCCATTCTCAGACCTCCGCCGTAAATGATGCCTATTATCACTTGCCCTAGACGCAGAAGAATTGGCCTTTCCCCTCTTCCGCTTTCGAGTCTTGGACTTCTTGTTCTTCCTAGTACCAGAGCTTTCTTGAATAGTTGGCTCCTCTGTTTGCTTTACGTCTCTAGCATCGGGGCTGCGCATAATATCGAAGCTGTAGATGTGATCCCCGGACCAACTAACAACCATTTCGTTGGGATTAGCATCACTTAACTTGCATGCTGTGATATGACCGCTATCTCTAGATTTGACTTTTTTCTGGCCATTGGGTGCGAACCGGCGAACACATCTGGTAGCCTGACCCATGGCATTGTCATCAGTTTGCCCCGTTTGGCCCCGCTCAGCCAGAAAGTCACGACCTAGCATCCGTCGGTCGTGAAGGAAGCAGTGCAGGTAGGCTCCTCCAAGGGCTATGTACTGTGGCTGGCTCGGCGAGCAGGATATGCTGTTTAAGTCAATGTGATATCGTTTGTATGATATCAACGGAGGGGGAACATTAGAGTCGTCGTGGCTACGACCAGGCCTGTAAGCCATAAAACCTTGGCCGCCACGAGGTGAAGGGTATGCAGACGACGGCTGACGGAGGTCCCATTGCCGCACCTCACCGTCTTCTGAGCATGTCAGGAACAGATATGGCGAGTTTTCAGTGACTACACGTTTCACTCGATCTGCATGAGATCTATAGACGCGTACATTCGTATTCGCCTCAGTCAGGTACCACATTCCGTTAAAAAAGTTGTTAAATCGGCGACTCCTAGCAGATGTGGCAAATTCCGTTGCCACGGAGGGACGACCAGAGTACTCGATGTCAAAGACCCGAACTTCGGAATCGCCAGCACATGAAACGAGGGTCCGATCATTGGAGTGGGGCATGAATTTTACGGAGAATATATTGGCGGAATGTCCTGTTTGTATGGTAGTATTTAGGAAGAAGGCAGCAGTGGATGATTCAGGCTGATAGGAGTAGATATTCAAATGCTGATCATCGGAGCCGGAGGCCAAGAGCTTCCCAGACTTTGACCAACTAGAGGTGGGCACAATGTCAGCCGGTACTTTATTTACCACATCCATATGCAATGAAAACGGTGTTTCTCAAGTATACTCAGTTTCCAGGTACGTAAGTAGCCACGGAGGTGAGGGACATATACAGAGGCAACCGAATAGCGGACAGTACCTTAAAGCGTTAACGCAACCAGTGTGTCCACCAAGCTCATTAACAATATCCATATCATCTATCCAAGCCTTATCGCCATAAATTCCTGCGATGCTGGCGTACGAAGTATTGTCCCCAAGCTCCCGCCTGAGAAGGCGCCTTTCCAGAACAGATTTCATGACGAAAAGACGAAGATGGAGAAGACCTCACAACGGACTCAAGAGGAAATTGGTCAGCTTCTAAAGAATCACCAATAGAGAAAGTCGCAGCAGTCCTTCTTGGGATCAACCCGCATCAACGTCAGCATCGGATGCTCCAAAATGCAAAAAAGAGTTGATGCTTCAAATCCAAAGAGGGCTCGGAATGCCAGCGGTGCGAAGGTGTGCCGAGGTAATTATCTTGTCTTAAGGGATTCCGGGACAGTATGAAGCTCCGGTAGAACGAATCGAGGCTTTTTGCTCAGCAAAGCACAATTCTAATACCCGGATTCGCCGTGGTGGAGAGGATGTTGTGGAGCTTTCCACCGTGAACCGGCGTTGGATGACGAAAGGGGATGATGAGGAGTTAACTCACCACGCCTTCACTGGAGAGATATCGAGAGTTGCTGAGTGCGGAACCCTTGCTCTTAAAAGCAAGGAGATGGTATAGTAGTTACCTCTGATGCTGGAGGAAGAGGCCGGCGAGATGGATTATCTGTCTTGCTCTCGAGGTGGCTGTTTGCATTGGAAGCCGTTGCGCAGTTGCACTCTCTCACTCTCCTCCAGACTGCCCACAGTGTGGAGGGATAACAATCACGTGAACGTCTGCTGGTGACATCATCACCGGGAAGCCTTTACCGGGAAGCAATTACTACTGGTGCTTTTTGTAGATCTTCCGCCCCGAGGATCCACTTCTTGCGAACTTGCCTAGATATACATATTCAAGAGTGTTATCTCGTCGGCCTCTCTGCATGTTTTGTATCTTCGCAGTTCTATCATGTACTAGATTCTGTCCCAATGGCCCTTTTGTAATTCAGGGCCAAAGGATCTTCCTGCTCATCTCCTGTGTATTGAACTTTACCCACATTGGAAATTAACTAGCCTAGTAAATCTAGCAAATCAGGGCTGCAGAGCCTACTCCGGTGATAGTCTGTAGGGACAACTGCAGAGTGCGCAATATGATATATTATTATGTTTTCAAGAAGTTGAAGAAATCAAGAGAAAATTGAAACAGCCCTCTCACGCCGTCCATCATCAAAAACCTGATATCACATTAAACAGCCACCCATGAAACTCCATAAAAGCAAGATTGTCGAACCAAGAGAGACACCAGCAGGTCCAAGGAAGCTTACCATAACCCACCTTAAATCCACAAACGCCTATGCCAAAGCCCAGACAGGTTGCCTTCTCCGCCTTTCAGCAGCAGCAGCACTACTTCTAGCATTAGCAGAGACGGAAGCAGGCCCCAACCGATCAACCGCCTTCCTAACCCACAACCTCTCCAACACCTCTACATCCACCTCAACCGCACTCACAATCTCCAATTCCTCAATCATCGACCGCAGCAACAACTTATGTCCACGCACAATCCGAATCAGCGCTGAAGAGGGCGGGTATTTAACCCCATCCTGTCCATCTCCCCGAACATCCACCTCAAGACAATCCAGCTCTCTAGCGCAGAGAACCAGCTTGGCGCTCAGCGCAGCAACTTCTTCTTTCCACTTAGAGCTGAGTGGATCTATGAAGTCGCAGGTAGTGGCCGCGTTGTCGCTATAAGAATCCTCGACATCGACATCGACATCGTCATCGCCATCACCATCACCATCGTTATCATTAGCGTTCCTGTCAACCGCCAGTTTCTGATACGCATTCCCATTCTGCGTGCCTTTACCCCTCCCGCTCCTGCCCCGTCTAACCCTCTCTACATGCTCAAACCACCTCTCAAACACGCGTATGCAATCCACATGTCTCCCACCACGCACATCCGTCAGCGCAGCGACATCCTGCACAACGCGCGACAACACCTGTATCTGCTCCGCGAAATCATAGTGACTATGACTATTATGACCGCTATTGTTCCGATTCGCCTTGCTATCCTCCGCTAACCGGTCCAGGGCTAGCTTGTTGACATAGCGCTGTGCTCCTTGCTCTTGAGCGAGGAGAGTGTGGTACTTGGACACGACGGATTGGTGCTGTTTGCGCAATTTGTTCTTGGCACTGCATTCCCATTGTAGTCGGGCATGGAGAGAGTCTGCGTGGAGGAGGTGGAGTTGAAGGAGTTCAGTTTGCAAGGCAGCTATTTGCAGATTGGTGTGCGAGGATGGATCGGTCCCGGGTCCGGTTTCGGTCACACTCGTTGAAGATGCAGAGGCGATAGGGATGGGTGGCTTAGTTTTCAATCCCTTTTTGGGACTGTAGTGTTGCTGAAACGTAGATAATTGTGGCTTGCCCGCCTTTGATGATGGGGTTGTACTTGTTGTTGCTGTCGTTGTGTTGCCGTCGCTCTGTTTCACACTTGAACTTGTATGACCTTTCATGGTGGACACAATTTGGCTTTTGTGCCGCGAATGGTTTGTTTTTGCCACCCTTGACATAACCATAGGCTGTCGTAATGACGCGGATCTCTTCAATCGCGTTGCGTTTGTAGTTTGAGGTTTTGGAGGCTCCGGTTTAGGCTGGTTCGTGTTCACCGACCCGGATCTTTCGCGTCTTTCTGGTCGAGGCGTAGGTCTGCTTTGGGGCCGCGACATCTGCGAGGTTGTCGTGTTTGCGGAACTTGGCCTCTCCATCCTAGCTATATGTAAACTCTGCGATCTCGATAACTGGCAGCTAGTCGTACTCGAAGAGCCCTGTCTCTCAAACCGGTTAATAGGTGCGTCCTGAGATTTTAATGAGTCTAACTTGGACGCATTCGCCGATCCTGGCCGCTCTAATCGACTCGTAGTTCCTCCAGCATGGTAGTTCATAGAGCTCGCCGTGGGTCTAGCTAGTTTTGACAGCGATAATTTGGAAGGCGATAGCGGAGACGCCGTCTGCTCACTCAAGTCCGGTAATTGAGCAGGGCCATCAGTAGATCGCCCAGGGAGAGGCGGGTGGATCGCCGTCGCTGGAGCCTGGACCTCCTGTACATCTGCATCTCGTAGCCGTTGTAGCTCAGTGTCCTGCAGCTGCGGCTGCAACCTGCCCGAAGAAACACTTCCTGCACCCTTCTGCCAACTACCCCGTTGTGGCAAGAAGCTGCGACGACGGGCTGCTAGGGCACTATCGCCACCATTGCCACCGCTATCTTCCCTTCCTCCATGGTTTGTTGTTGTGGGTGCTGCTGTTGCTGTTGCTGTTGTTGCTGCTGCTGCGGCGGCGGCGGTTGTGGCTGGCTGAGGAAGACCTGAAACCGGCTGGGTATATGAAGGTAATTTGGAATTGCGAGGTGGTGCGGACGCCGACGACGTGGCCGACGATGTAGTGTTCGAGCGGGCTTCGATTGTTCGGGGACGTTGGGCTTCGGGGATCTGTGCTATGTGCATGCGTGAATCAGTAAATAATACTTCTCTTGCGGTTCAATTCTTGTCTCCGCTTTCTCACTCTTCGAATATCAGGTAACTTCCTCCGCCAGGGATCAGGGAACTAAGAATTTCTAGCATACCGCTTCTCGATCGAGACCAGCAGGTTTCTGTCTGATACGAGGTTCGCGTAGGGAGAGGCTCCGCATGGGGATTGGCATTTCGTCGGATGAGTAGAGGGAGTGTTGGACAAGATCCACGAAGAGGCCGTTCGGAGCTCAGTTGAACTCGAGTTTCTTTTGAGACCAAAGTAAACAAAAGTCGGCGCTGGATATGGTTCAGGGCCTGGCTTACATATTTAACTGGTTCACCAATTAATATTTAAAACTAACTAGTTAACTGGGCATTTAGTCACCACCCAAAATTATTGCTCTCTCGGGGCAGTTGGCTGGGGCTTGATTTAACAAATCCCAATCTAAACAGCATCAAACAGGGCAATGCACAGTTGGTTCAGTTAGTTTTGAAACATGATATTGAACAAATAACTTGGTCGGTTGTTACCCAATTAAACCTTAAGAGTCCACATTACAAACAGGACACAAACACCCCGGATCTCCAAAGTATAGAGATGCCGAGGAGACTGCGAGATACCTGAGATTTTTAGAATTAGGGGCCTGGGTCAGGCTGGAGGCTATGGTCGATGAATCTCTCCTAGGCCTCTGTTTCTTGGGCTTGGGAATCAGTTTCAATAAGAAAAGTTCAAGCAAAAGGATAAGGAGCAAGGAGCAAAGTAAGGCCATGCAATATACACCCTGCAATCCGAGACCAGGAGACGAGGGTATCAGTTCCATAGTCCTAACAAAAGCATTTTGCTGCCCGAAGCAACCCCCGTAAGCTCCCTGGATGCTCCAAACACAGACCCCATGATGTGAAAAAGAAAAGAAGAAGAAGAAGAAGAAGAAGAAGAAGAAAAAAAGAAATTAAATTAAATTAAAATATAAGACAAAGGGAAATGACGGCAACACCCTTTCCACTCGCTCAATCACAGATTCTCCTTTAAAGGAAACGAAACCCCTTCCACAGCACTGCTATCCGTAAACCAACTCACTTTCTCCGCACCGCCCGCATTGACCAGCGCACAGGGAAGGCTCCTCCCTTCCTCCGTGTCAAAGATCTGCCTCATGATCTCCTTCTTCCCCGCACCCATCGCCACAAACGCGATCCTCAACCCGTGTGTAACAACTGGCAGCGTGAGCGTAATGCGCTTGGGCGGGGGCTTTGGTGAATCCGAAATGGGCGCAACCCATGCAACTGATTCGCGGAGCAGTTCGTGGCCAGGGAAGAGACTGCACGTATGTCCATCCGGGCCGCAGCCGAGCAACAAGAGGTCGAAAACAGGCAATTTGACGCTATCCTTCGCCGCGAAGGAGTGCATCAGTTCCTCCTGGTACTGGTCTGCCACTTCCTGCGGATCATTGTCGTCGATATGCGTGACGTCGATGGGGTGGACTTTCGGCCTCCCCAGCTTTGAGGGGATCTTATTGATCAGCTCTGTTTTGACGAGGTGGTAATTGCTATCTTCGTGGTGGAGGGGGACGACCCGTTCGTCGGCGAAGAAGATTTCCCAGGTGGAAAATCGCGGGGTGTCGTCGTCGGTGCCATCGCCAGGGGCGAGAAGGGCCTTGGCGAGGACTGCGGGGAGAGAGCCGCCAGAGACAGCTACGCGAAAGACGCCGTGTCTGTTGATGGCCGTGTTCTGGGACTGCAGGACATATTTTCGGAGATGCTTTGCAAGAGTGTTTGTGTCCGGGAAGGTGTAGAGATTTGGCATTCCTCCCACCATGGTTTGGCTGAAGCTGGAAATTGATCGTGAGGGAGGGGGTGGTGGTGCAGTTGTTTAGCAAGTCGCGGGGTAGTTAAACCAGTTACAGTGTGAACTATCTAGTGACGTACAAGGCAACTAACTAACTCTTGGGGCAAACTTGTCGAACACACACCCTTTGGGGGAACAGAAGAAGATATTCTGTCGAAGCTGGATATCACCAGATGAACTGAAGAAGGGCGTCCACGTACGATTGACACTAAGGTCAAGTGGGATGGAACAATCAGCGGAGGTGGGAAGAAGTTTGAGGATATCCGGGTTGATGAACTCCTCTCGTTGACTCTGCATCCTTAAACGCCATGCAAATCATCTGGCAGCCTAATTTATTAGATGGGCTCCACAAAGCCTCACCTTTCTGAACACTAAATCCCTTTCGAGAGAAGTTTGTTCAAAGACAACCTCATAATATACAGAAAACCCGGACCGTTAGAAACTATTGTAGGTTATTAACTAATAATGTATTTGTTACATTTTTTATATTTATTTATTTAATATTTATACAAAGTTAATTAATTATCAGTTATAAATTGTGTATCCCAAAGTTTATCTATTTATTATATATCAACAACCACATTATAATTAACTATCAAATAAATGAAAAAATAATATAAAAAGATATTAGTTATAATTTAATATAAAATATTATACTTATATTTAAAATTTTAAAATATTTATAAAAAAATAAAATAATTGATGTTAATAAATATAATTTAAAAATAATATTAGTTATTTGAAAAAAAAAAAAAATACTTCCATCAAACAAATGTGCCAGTTGTTAATAACTTTAACAACTAACTGCTTTTCGCCATCTGCTGACCACCCACCCGTCACGTGAATCAATCTATCCCCTCGTCTTTTCCTCCACAGCAACGACCAACAGTTTTTGGGAATTCCGAGCCAAACGACTTTCGTGGCTCGCTTTCACCCTCGGTCACTCGCCTTGCGCCAGGGGGGGGGAGCCGTTTTTGGACACCGGGATGTGACGATCAAGGGAGTCAAAGCAAGAACGCTGTCAGTTCTTGCACCTGGATGCCGTCTCTATGGACAAGTGGATATGAAAGTGACTCTGGGATGAGGATGGCAGTAGTGATTCTGACCCCGACACCTTTGATGGTGAGGGTCAGTTGCCAGTTGCCAGTTGCCCCCAGAACATCATTTAGCCCAAGCAAAGGGCCTGGATGTCACGCAGCTTCGACAGCAGCGGTACAGCGACCGCACTCGGGAGATTGTCAATGAGACCCATTCGTGCTGGAAGCGGTAGGTAAGTTTCTCCGACCTTCAGGTTAGGTAGGCTAGCTGGCTGGACTTGTATCATAACAGATTGCAGACTTGTGTGGATTCTAGGAGTTGAATATTTTCAGTTCCAGCTTAAGTGTTTTTAGAGAATTATCAAATTATGAATCATGCATCGAAGCGCTTCATTTCACAAGTAGCAAATAAACAAATACACTATCATAAGCCCCTCTTTATCACACGAGGCGGCAATGTGATCGACGCGAATCTAGAACTACTGCTGCTGTCTCAAAATTTAATCACTCATCAAAGCCTCAAGAAACCTTCAATTTCACCAGAGAGCAAACGCCATATCCATCATGATACCCTCCCCCCCCCCCCCCCCCCCTTTTTTTTTTTTTAAGAACACATCTAACGTGTTTCAAGATATCATTCCCCGCTTGACAGTTGACTGGCCGAGTGTTGTTCCAATGTGTGCATTGAAACCATTCCAAAGTTTGCTGGGCATCCTTCAGGTCATTGCATAGCCAAGGAATCAGCAAAAATGGGGTTTGGATGGAAAGTAAGGAACTCTCAGTATCTGTGATGCTTGCAGTACTGCTCTCTAATGTGATCTCCATGTCCCCAGCTGCCCGCCATTGCATCTACAAAGGCCTTCTCAGGGAATTTTTCTGCTGTCGCTTTATTCTTATCATCAAGAAAGGAGATGGTCAAGAAGTGGTCAGACTCTGCGTCATGATTGGTTTCGCATGGAATGTTCGCGTCTGAACCGAATTGCTCTGCCTGGATTCTGTCTGCTTTGGCTGGGGTGGATTGGGGGGAATCCTAATCAATGGACCATGGATTTGCACCATCAGCACCAGATTGTATGGCGTCCAGAATTTCGTTGGTTACAGCACCAGTACTGCTGGCTAAAGAAATATCAGTAGTCTCCATGGAGGCCTCGGCGGCATCCTTCATAGGGGCACTGGACTGGTGATGGTCGTTTTCTGTGTCGGGTGTCATTTCAGGTCTTTCGACTTCTGCCGCAAGCTGCGTGGGAGGTCGCCTAGGGTGTATAAGTCGATGAGGACGCTTGACGCGAGACCTTGCTCTTAGCTTCGTCATCTTTCTGATGGGGCTGGCCCTGGGGATGCTGTGGATAAATGAACGACGGACAAAAGAATGTTAAACCCGGTTTGAACAGGCTTGAGCGCCTGGGAACAGTTTTCGCGACACCATTTTTGGTGGCGCTGCGGAATCCAGCTTCTCGTAGCGGAGACGCGAAAATCTGAGTGAAGCAATGTAGAAAGTGCTGAGGGTTGGAAATAGGGGGTGAAAATGCGAATGAGAAGCAATTAAAAGGAAAAATGGGTTCTAATGGGAGAGAGCCCATCTTTATACTCAAGGCCCAAGAAGTGGTCACGAGATTGTCCCTTGTTGTTGACAAATAGGCTGCGAATCAGGTTTCAGTAGCTCCCTGGAAGAAATATACTGTTGCATGTGGAAAAGACTGTATTTATTTGACAAATGTGACACTGAACCTGCATTAGCCTATGATATCTGGGTTTTCCTGTGCATCCTGAAGCTCCTTGATCATATTCAGGTGGAGATGAGGATTCAGTCTTTTCCATCGTTCGCCGTCCGGAAAGACAAGCCGACGTAACCGTTTCACACAGGGGATCAAGGATTGATAGTATGGAGTGAAATTAGTCTCTGCAGCCTTTAGGAAATCCCCTTCACCAGATATCAAGCCTTTTTTTGCCTCTGCCAACTCTATTGTATCCATATAGTTCCATTTCTCAAAGCGTCCTCCGTCTCTCCCTTTGTTCGGCCCATCATAGTGAATGCATATCCAGAAGAGCACCCAGAAAAAGACTCCAGATCGTGCATAAAGCAATGGGTTTCACCATACAAGACACCAATAGCCATGAATGCCCTGGTACCGGTCTTGCCCGCGCGCCGCAGGACCTGTCCCGCTGCTTTTTGATGGCCAGATCAAGGTCAATCAGAAAAGCACGCCATGAAGGGTTGTCATCATCCTCATTCACCATCAGATTCCAAGGGGAAATGTCACTTTGGACAAGACCGGCCTTGTCATAGAGCGATATATATCCTTCAATGCAACCTGCCAGCCCATCAAGCAGAACTGCCTTCGAGCTACTCTCATAGTTAGGCTTTCCATAGTCCTGGACAATCACGCGACGATGCACTCGGTTTGGTGGGTTAGAGTCCACTGTAGGTTTAGTAGAAGAACTCGACTGGGTACGTTTACTTGGAGGCTTGGAGGGGTTTGTGCCGTGTCCACACAGTCAAAAAGGTCTTTTCCGCCCAGCAGTGCTGCCTTGGCTCTTCTGTCCTCTCTGAGACCTGCTGCGCCGCACTGTCACTTTCGAGCTGCCTTTGTTATCATTCAATGCTGGGATATTTAGACCCTTTCGAATAGTCAAAACATCGTCCTCCTTGCCGTTGATGCAAACCGTCTCATGGGGATAATATCTCGCAACATTCTTGACTCCACTCTTCATTGCTTCTTGCAACAACTTCCCTTCCTCAGTGCTCTCTGGGTATTGCCATGAGTCCTTGACCACCAGCGGAGTCCGTGACTCATCTGCCTCGCGGTGTGCCTTCCAGCAGGTTGTGGCTCGCCCAGCAATGCAGTGTGCTCGTCCAATGAACTTGTCGATGATCAGCCGTTCCTTCACACCGCCCTTCTCGATCTTGATATACCGTTCAGTCCCGATGGTGACAATGGTCGGATCAAATCCAAGCTGCTCCCGGCTCATCAGAAGGAATCCAAGAATAATGGAAACAAATTGAAGGCCATCCTCCTCGCTGATGTCATAATTCTCAGACGCAATTCCACCCAGACCGTCAAAGTTCCACAGTCGCAGGAATGGCCTACACAGGATCAACCCAAGAACAAAACGGCGGCTGTTCTGCGCGGCAAGAACCTCTCTGGCATATCTTTCCAGATCATAATACGATCCTGAGGGACGGTCATATTGTGGGTCGTTCTTTAAGCTCTCCTGGCACCAGGATCTACCACCAATGGCACCTGGAATTCTCTGTGGCGTTCACAACATCAACAAAGCCAATGTCCAGTTTTCTCTGCGCGATGGACCCTGCAGTGGCCGATGTGGCTGTGCGAGCGGCCTCCGGTCAATCTTCAAGGTTGGCTCGTGGGTCTCTGCCATCTGCACCAGCTAACCAATAATCTTGGCCAACCAGCTCAGGACATCCTCTTCTGCCGCCTGTTCGGGCCAGTCCCGCCAGCCATTGTTGTCATTGTAGAGGTTTGTCCCCTTGCTCTTTTCAAACACTGCTCGCGCAACTACATCAAGATGTGGTATGCCCTCGAAGGATGCATTGAAGAACCCAGGAATGTTGGTGTGTAACTCTCCCAGCTCCTCCTTCAGCACGATGTCAATGTAGTCTCGGCGTTCTGTCGAGTTGGCAAAACTGCTAGTGTTGCGCAGCCAGGGTGTTTGTTGGATTGATGATACAGGGCGAGAAGGTGGAGTGGCTTGCGATACAGTGTATATGAGGCTGAAGACAGCTTTCCAGATATCGACGTCGGCAGCTTTTTGGATGACAAGCTGAGCTAGTGGCTGATAGTAGCGGTAGTTGAAAAGGTCAGGTCGGAGATGCTTAAAGTTTTACTTCTGCTAAATCTGAATCGATATTTTGATCGGTAATCCGAGAGCGAAGATTGAATGCCGTGTCCTCTCCTTGTAAAGCATGGAGGAGTGTTGCAATCGCATTTCGATGGAGCTGGTCCAGTTTGTCAGTGGCGCCATATCATCAGAAATAAACCACGACGCGTGAGTTCTCTCCGTGAAGCAAGCCACGTAAATCACCGAGTGACTTGGTTAAAAGGATGCTTTTTGATGATAGCGGTTTCATCTGGTGATAGTTCTGCCACACTTACCAACACAAGGAAGCGGAGTAAAATCTCAGCCAGCTGCTTGGGTGCAGGTGTTCAAGAAGGGTAATGAATTGAGTTGGTCAACAATAACATTTGTCTCGGTCCCTGGGCATTGTGGGAAGTGAGTTACTTGTCGGTTTTGGGCTCAGGTTCAACCGAGCTTGGAGCTAATAAAACCGTTCGGGGCCACTGGGTTCAAAGGAACTTGCTAGAAATACCACAGGTGCCAGACTCTGGCGCTGCTCTCCCAAGCTTATGAGGTTAGCAACATACATTGTTCGAGAGACTTGTGCATTTCTCCCAACTTCGCCCATCAGAGAGAGGAAATCTCCGAGAATAACTCGGGTTGGTTTTTTTCCAAGGAGGCGAGGCCTGACAGAAGCTAATCCGGTCTGCAGGCGGATCAGAAGCGTCGTAGCCGCCTGGAGGCTGCTGGTCCAGTTATCTCAAATACTGGCCAGCGGGTGTCAAGAAAGAATGGCTCGAGAAGTTTTAAGAGTCTCCATAGAAGAGTTTTCCAGCTGCTTTCACCTGCTTTCGCATTTGCTTTTCCACTCTTCTGCTCCTCTGTCTGCTCCTCTGTCGACTCTACACACGGGTGGGCGCTTCCATCATGAATGTGGCCATTTATGATTTAATTTATTTGGCTCCGCATCTACAGTAATATTATTGTTCAGCAATTTCCAAACACAGGCTCTCTCTCTCTCTCTCTAGAGATAAAATCTCTTGCTTGTACCTTGAAAATGATTGAGATATATCACAATTCAAGCCCCTTCTAATCCCACCCCTACCCTGTTCCAATTTGTGTGTGTGTGGGGGGGGTAAAACCTGGAGTGATTCATTCATTAATACCGCATCTATCCTCCCGTTCTGTCTTAACTAGTTCTTAATCATAGAAGCATATGCAGTAGATACCATTATCAATGTATATGTATCTTTGCCACCGCATTCTTCTTTCACAGTAATGCAGGGGTTTAGTGGCCCTGTTTGCCCTCTGAATAATAACATCTTTCTGGGTTATAAAAGAGCAGCAAGGCCGCCGCAAGACTCAATCATTTATGCTGCTTGAGATTCACAAGTATGTGCTCTCACAAAACAAAGTTACACGTAAATGCAGCCATGCTCATTATCTTGTCGTGTTGTTGCCTTGGTGTGTCATTTTAACCAGCAGACGCAAGAGAGGTGGTGTCTCCTAGACAATACAGCCTCGGAAGGGTATCTCCATGCTTAATGGGAGAATGTGTTAACAATCTCTCCCCCCTCCCCCCGTGTCCTAGGGAAACCTGTAATGAAGCCCGCGGTCTGTTCTGTCCCTCCCATCCCCCCGGAGCTTTCTCTGATGGAAACAATGCAGGAGACCGCAAGGCGGTTCGGCGACTCCGTGGCGGCAGGGCAACAACAGTGAGGAACGGGAACCGGGGAGAGGGAGCAATGCATGAAGGCACGGTTGCAGGAGGGAAAGGAGAAAAAGAGTAAAGAGCAAAGAGTAGAGAGAGTGCGTCGTCGTCTTTCGAGGGAGCGAGGCGGCCCCTTTCCACAGATTTGAGTGCTGAAGCGAGGTCGAGTACGGCCATACCGCAACGGGCTAGAGTCGAGGGCTATCGGGGATAACCGTCCACAACTTTTTACCCTAATATACATACATACATACATACATACATACATATATATATATATATATATATATTGTAAACAACCAACTGGCTAAAAGTTAACATTTATTTCATCTTTCCTATCTGTGTTTGAAAGCTTCTCAGACGAGAAAGGACTTGTCTCATTATGGACAATGCTGGTGATTAGTTACCCAACTCTGGAGAGCATCTACGAAACCCCCGAGGGCGACAGCCCGGCGGAGCGCATATCCCGCGCCCGCCAACCAACCGTGCGCGGCGTTGCAACGTCTGGGCATGGGAAGGTTAGTGACTTGCCACTAGCCTTCCAGATCTCACTGACCCCCGACGAAAGGGGCACGAGTCTTGGGAAAGCCCTCTCTCCCTGGCCTGATTCGACCAGGGTTCTCCCAGTGGCGGGCTTCGGTTGATTCTTTCAACGAATGAATGATCCTTGTCCTGCAAGCTACAGACTGTGGCTTCAGAAAGATCATCCACACTGCCTCACAATGCGGCTGTCATTATTAGACCGCGTACTAACACTGTCCAGAAGGGGTTGGCTTCGCAGCCCTTGTTGCGTCTCAGGCGTCTCACCTGCATTCCCAGCAAACAAACTGAAGAGAGTAAAGACAAACCAGTCCGGCCCACAATGGCTTTAGAATACGGTCAAGCCCGCTTGTTGCTGAGATGTACATTCAACACTAAATTGGGTGTCCCACTTGCTGCTCTGGAAGCCTTATATAGACAGGCGTAACAATAACATTATATCAATCGCAGAGGGCCTCACTTGACACGGTTTAACCTGGTCCAATGGGGGTCCGTTCAGATACCCCATTTTCGAGGACTCTCTTGACTTTTCCGATGACCCGGCATGCCTTAAGTTGCCTGTATGTTCGTTGTGTCCATCGGGAGAAAAAATATGGAACAGGAGCTGCTTGGAGGGGAGGAAGAGCCGCAAGTGTCCATTCATCCAAATTCTTTAACTTGTGCCAAATATATTGACTAACAGCGCCTCTACCGAAAACTTTTTTTTTTTTTTTTTATTATAAGCTTCCGTAATTAACCACTGAATCTGTGGCTTCAGGCTGAGAGAAAAAGGACAGACTAATGTAAAAATTCTTTCGGCGTATATAACGCCATCCCACCCCCGGCGCCCCGCGGACTTCGAGTAAGCGCGCAATCAATCTCCTGTTATTCCCCCGTTAAAGGCCCAAAAGCGCTGGTGTGGGCAACGATGCCATATTGTATACACCCGCATCTGACGACTATACTTCATGCACGGGTCGATTTCTCTGGACCCTATCATTTCTGTGAACCCGAGCGACAGCGACAGCATTACGGCCTCCGCCGCCGCCTATTCCCTCCAGGCCCGGACCTGCCTCTGATGTTTCTTGGTCGCCATCAGCGGGCAGCTAGACGGCGCTCGCATAGATTATTATTCTGTGCATTGCTATGCGCTTCTCTGATGATGATATACTACATCTCTATTCCGGGAGCGGTGCCTCCGCCAGCAAGGCTTGTTCGGCCAGATTCCCACGGCATTCCACTAGCAATTGTGGTGGGCAAAACGGTGGGAGAGAATGCGAATTGGGCATATAAGATGTTTCCGGAGTTAGTATACTAACATGTCCCCAATGAATAACCTGCCATAAAAACTTAATATATGTATATATACATATACCAATTTCTTTCTTTCTTTCTCTCTTTATCCTTTTTTTTTTTGGTTTTAGTAATTAGATGCTTCCAAAAAAAACAGATGGACCCCTTTCGTCTACAGCGTCGACAACGAACCAGGCTATGGCCTCCACGTGCCCAACCGCGGCCGCGAGTCCATGCCCTACCTCACCTTCATAATCGACCACTACTACAACCTCCCGGATATCGTCGCCTTCATGCATGCCAACAATCGACAATGGCACAACCAAGATATCAGCCCGTACAACGACCGAGTTCTCCGCAGCCTCCGCCTCGAAACCGTCCGGAAAAGAGGCTACGTGAACCTGCGCTGCAGGATCAGTCCAGGTTGTGAACCATCCAGCGTGCTCCCGCATCACCCGACCTTCGCCGATATCGATCGCAACGATACCCGCTCACGCTTTGCTGATATCTATGCGAAATTGTTTGAGCTGGACGATGTGAAGGACGTACCACAGGTCATTGGCGGGGTATGCTGTGCACAGTTTGTGGTGACGCGGGAGCGAATTTTGCAGAGGCCGTTGGAGGACTATGTGCGGATGAAGGACTGGGTGTCGTCAGGGTCCCGGCCGATGAATGATTACGATGTTGGGTGGGTGTTTGAGAAGATTTGGCATATTATTTTTGGGGAAGCGGCGGTATCGTGAGTTAGCCTTTTTTTTTTTTTTTTTTTTTTTTTTTTTTTTTTTTTGCCCGGGGCTTTGTTGATATATAAACCACCTTTCAAACCACGAGTAAACGCCTGGCTGAACCTGTTTTGTCTCATGCAGCTGCATAACCGAGTCACAATGTCTCTGTGACCTCTACGGCAAATGCAAACCATCCCGCCGCCCCAAGAAGGCCACCAAATTAGCATTTGAACCAGTTTCATGATTTTTTTCCCCCTCTTTTCTTTTGCAGGGCATTGAACCATTCCTCCTCCCTTTTCTTCTCTTCTCCAAAATTTACTACCCCATTCTCTCCGCAACATCTCTTCATCAGATACCCACATTGTATACCCGATGTCCACCCTCCATTTCTACTCCATCCATGCGAGCGTACTCCCCTTTTTGCTAGAAACCCTGGAAAATTATTCGATTTGATATTGAGGGCATATGCATACAGGCGTAATAGGAAAGTTGGAAAATTACAAATAGAAAAATACTATATAAGAGCGGAAGTTGTTGCGATTTCTTTCCAATATTTTTTTTGGATCTTTTTGCTCTCTCTGTTTACTTTTTACTGGTCACTACTTTCTCTGTCGCAAGTCAGCTTTTGTCCTGGGCCATTCTGTCACAATGTTGTATGTCTTTACAAGACAGCTTTGTTTTCTCTCCGGCCTTCAAATATATCCTCAAATTCTCTGCTAAATCCGTGTTCATCCAACTTGCTAGAACAAGTTCTCGCTCGCCGTACGGGTTCCTCCCATAGATCTCAGTCAACTAAACGTCCCCTGAATGACGTCGTACATTAAATCTACCGCTATTCGTGGCTTCCCCTTGTTTCAACCCCGATGCCGAACGCGTGAGAATCGCTCGGGTGTTTGTCACTCGATTGCAACTTTTCGATTCGCCTTGCCGAATTGAGCAGAGTGTGATTTGTGAAAAAGAATTGTGTGTGGAACTGCCATGGTAGTTTCCCTTGCCTTGGGAACAATGAATTCAAGTCTGCTTATATGCTTTTTGCGTTGTGATAAAAGGCCAGGGAACGTAGGCTTCAAGCTGCCTTTAGAATCATGACATTATAGGTTTAAAGCGTGGTTCTCCTCGGGGTTGAAGAGTGGTCTGGGAATGTGATCTCTCTCAGGCTTAAACAGTATTCCGAGATTTAAAGAAATACCTTAAGTTTATAATAAAAGTGTCAAGAATCACAACATCTGATCTAAAGTGTGGTCTCCTCAAAGTTAAGAAGCATCCTGAGAATTAGAGATGCTTTGAAATTCGCAACAACGATGTTTTTGGAGCTTGTGGTAGCTTAACCCCAGAGAAATCATATACCCCCTGAGAGCTACACCAAAAGTCGTGGCCACATCCAGCGGCAGTAGAAGGCCGTAAGAAGACAAACAGCGGGGGGGCATACATAAATTCCCTCTCATTGAGCACGGAAAGAAATGCCCCGGGAACAACAAAAAATTAACAACCGAAATGAGTTGATGCCCTGGGACATACAAATATTGATAGGGTTAATCATACTTTGAAAAGGCTTCCATGGCCCACAGACAGATATTATAAAACAGGTTCTTCTGAGACAGATTCAGAAATCAATCCTGTTGAACAATTGACTCTTCTACAAAGGGAGGAGAAATTGTCAGAAAGCGGTTAAACCATTTTGCAGTCTAACAAGATATTACTCCCCGCCAGAGACGTCATGTTCACGGAATACAGGGTGCCCCCCCCCCTGGTGCTTGCACAAATAGTGGAAGAATCACCCCACCATGCCAATCAATGAAATCAAGGACCTTTGCTGAACCGGGTATGAGTAGAGTGTCGATCAGGCTCAGATCGGGGCGTCTGAATATTGGAGCATTGAGTGCTGCTTCGCTGGGAACCAGAAATGGGTGCCACGAGAAGATATTTATTTGGAAAGGAGGAGCGAGATGTGTTCGCTGGTCGGCGCGCAGCAGCTGTCAAGCAGAATCCAGGCTTTGTCCCTAGGATCTATATAAGACGTTCTGAGAAACGAACAGGGTACCACGATTTAACTGCATCTGTTTTCGCTTATTCATGCCAGAATTTTGTCATTTCGAAATGGGCCCCACGCAAGAAGCCATCTACTACTTGCAAAGCTACCCGACAGGCTTCTGCGATATCCTTTGTGCGGTATGGACTGCCATATGCAGAAAAATCGACGGCGAAATTTTCTGCTCGACCTCGGTTACCTGTGACATCACGTCCTTCAGGTCAGCCGTTGACAGCGAAAGCCACCAAGAGGGAGACCACCGCCTTGCAGCAGTTCCGTTAGTTATTATATATTCAGCGCCCACAAGGTTGGCGTGGGTTGTCGAATAAGGGAAAGTTCTAGGAAAAGGAGAATCTAGGATGTTGCGGAGAAAGTCCATGGTCGCAACTTTGCCAGCAGTTGGGAAATGCGCGGGATCCCGCGATAGGAGCGAGGAATGCGTGCGAGAACTCTGCTCCCATCATCCAGAGTGAGAAGGAAATCTCTGTTGAAGCCACCCTCTGCCATTTTGGCCATGCGGATGTACTGATCTCAATTTTACTGCACTTGCTGCAGTTGGGCAACATTAAATTGGACATATCTTTCCCTCAGTCGTGCATTTTCATTGAATCTGGCCATCTGTGAGACTTGGCAGTTTTGGTATAACGAGGCGGGAGGGCACAACCAAACATCCATCGCCTCGTCGTGTTCTTGAACAGTTCCTCCTCCGGAGGCGAATGCTTCGGAGGATAGGCAACAAGCGGGCACGTACATCCCGGCTCTCTTAGTTCTCCGACGGTGCAGCAACCAATTTAGCCTGCATGTGGGCTGGCGGTCGAGACGAAACATGGAGCCTACCAAGGAGATTATTTGACAATGCCATCTTCTGGACGTGAGAGGTGAAGGGGAATAAGAATCTCAGTCTGGGAGCTCTCTTGGAGCTTGGTTTTAGCGCCCGCCGTGCGTCAGAGAGCTAAATAAAAATTCCGGCCTCCTCAGTTGATCTTGGACTCACAGAAGCTTGAATCGTGGGCAACACGAACTCATAAACGAGTTGGGATAGAAGTCCAATATGCCCTCTGTGATATTAATTGACGACGCGGTTGGCTGTATTTGAAATGGAGCTCGCATTCCAGATTGCATCAAACTGAGGGCCATCAAGAGGTGCGGGGGTGGCGGGGTTTGAAATCAATCACTCTCGGCGGTTGAAGAATTCCGTCATGTTGATTCTACATCCCTCTCTTGCTCAAGGTCAGGCAGGGTATGGATGCGTTTGGCTGAACAGCATCTTCGTTTTTTTTTTTTTTTTTTTTTTTAATTTTTAATTTTTAATTTTTAATTTTATTTTATTTAATTTTTTTTATTTATTTATTTATTTTTTTTTGATTATTTCTCCGTACTTAAAGGACCAATGTACAACCACAAAACTTTCAATGAAGTAATTTCAGATTGTTACTTCATTTGAAACAGTGGAACCATGGACGATGGATGGACGGACCATGACAGCCACAGACTCGCTGGCGGGCTGCTATCCTCGATGCAAATAAAATATAATTTAAAAATAATTAAAAATTAAATAATTTAAATAAAAGATGAGAATGCTGTTTGTGCTCCCTGGTTATGTTCGTCAGCCGGTGATGATTAAACTGCTGCTGTGACATCTTTCTATGCCAATTTCTCTCCCCCCGTCTGTGTCTTTTCTGAGATCGCTATCGAGAATCGCCATCCTCCCCTCTCTACGCTGCGGAGTAGATAGATATCCAGGAATCACAACTAGATACACCCCTGCATGCATCAGCGACTACTCTCCATATTCCTTGCATACGAGAGGTGAGGGCTTGTCAGGCTGAACGGACGAGTGACCCGGTTCCCAAGCCCTTGATAAAAGAACCATTTGACAACCGTCTGTTCTTATTTATTATTCCACCCAGCCGCTTCTTCCTTTCCCCATGCTCATGCTTGGTGCTCCCCCCGCCCTGTTTTGTTTTCTGATCTTGTCCTGAAAGCCGCCTGACGTGCGCCGTTGCCAAAGCAGTTACCAACACGATATGAGATAGCCAAACTACTTGCTTGTGGAGCTAAATATATTACTGCTTCACCTCCCACCGTCAGCCCGTCCCCTTCTCTCTTGTCATTTCTTCTCTACAGACCAACTTATTTACAATTTCTTCCATTCCTCTCCTTCCTACTCTAAACCCACTTCCTCAATTCACAATGAGTTCGACATCAGCTCCAACCCAGGAGTCATCCTCCAATAACTCCGGCGCGAGCGTGACTCACTGTGCCTCTTCCAACCCCTGCACCTCCACCCTTGAACCCGCACGGTGCTCGAGATGCCAGGAGGCTCTCAACCTCGAGAATCCCTCGTTCCCCCCCGGCTTTGTTCGATTCGGCATGAACTCATACTACTGCAGCCGCTGTGCGTACATGGTCGGGTACAGCAATCGCTGAGAAAAATAATGGTGGCAGCAAGACGAAACTGGTTTAAACACGGTCGTTTCATTCTAAGCACCGAAAAAAAAAAAAAAAAAAAAAAAAACAGCTCTAATCCACCAAAAACCCCTATCCAATCCAAATCCAAAACCGTTTCGCACTTTTCAAGGCAAGATTATGAATTCGCAGATGACAAAAAATTAAATAAAAAAAGAAAAGAGAAGAAAGAAAAGCAAAGAAAATCCAAATCCAAACAGGGAATCTGTGAACGAGATTGCGGACTGCATGACAACCTGACAAACTCACCGACTAATCGAAGCCTGACAACTACCGACGTTCATGATGGAAGAAAAAAAAAAAAAAAAAAAAAAAAAGGTATCCTAACCAATATCGATGAGGGGGGAAGATGAAAACCAACAAGGCGCCGATATGACAAGGCGAAGCAAACCCTACCAACGAAACTGGTTTTTTTGATTCATTTCTTCACCATTCCCTTCACCTGCCTGCTTGCTCAGCACGAGACCGAATTTCCGAAATTTCCTTCATAATTCCGGCTTCTTTCCGTGTCGTTTGTATCGTTTGAATTGAAATCATCTTCACCGCCTTTTTTTATTTTTTTTTTAACGGTGAAATCGAAAGTTCCCAGCCTATCACGAGCCGGATCTGGCATTTTCTTACTTTTGTGGCTCCTGTAACTAACATTTCCGGGACTCCGAAAAAAAATACAAAAACAACAAATCGAGGGAAACAGGAACACATCACGGGATACGGTCAAAGTGAGAGGAGACGTGTTAGATGGATGAACAATACCATCGGGAAAAAAATGCTACCCCGCTCTCTTTAACCGGCCGTTTATTGCAATTCCATGAGCTCTGTCAGAAAATACGCATATGCCAATATTGGGTAGTATCTCAGCTCGCCCTTTTTCAAAGCACGCAGTGCAACCTCTTTCCACTGTGTTCGGTTTTCTCATGAAGCGGTGGCAATCTCCACCCCCAACCTCATCTAAATACTCCGGGAACTGTTCTCGGGAACCTGTACACAAAGGTTTAAAGTTTGGCTAAAATGTGGCCAGTTTTAGATGTCGATCATCGAGGTGCTCTGTTTTCCTTTTTCTCTCTTCTAGTGTCACTGCTTCTAGTGTCACTGCCAGGCAGGCATTCTCACACACAAACAAGAGCAGCCAAGATGTAAACAAAGCGGGGGGCTGTAAATTACGCACTATTTTCATGATCACGCGAAGAGAAGGAAGGTGAACGTTGTTTCGAAATTTTCTCATTTGCGTGTCCATTCCAGGCCTATTGCGGAGAAAGTGATTTGTGTGTGTGTGTGTGTGTGTGTGCGAAAGCAGAAATCGTGATGAGAACAGGAACCCATTCATTCAACAGCATTCTATACACACCTCGTTCCATTTCTCTCTTATTTTATGTCAGTCGCTTTCATTTTGCTTTCCTCACATCAAGTCCCCTCCATTTTCATCATCGCCATCATCATTCAAACAACCGCACTTTGTTATCTCGTTGTTATTATTGATTTATGTTTGTCATGCCTCTTTTTTTTTTTTTTTTTTTTTTTTTTTTTTGGCTCAAATGATATCCCATCTCGGTTTTTGTTTCTGCTATATTATTTGGTTTCCTTTTCCAGCTGCGTGATATCTCAATGCATATGACGGGTCTTATCATAGCATATCTTCATGTACGACAGTCTTGGGTGTCGTGTATGCTCAAAACCGACTGCTGGTAAGGAGTTATGGGGGTGAAGTTTCATGTTCCTTAGCGTCTGCAGCTTTACAAAACGGCTCATTCAGCAAGGATTCTCATCTATTATTATCTTGCCTCCCTGCTCTGTACTGGACTTTACATATATCTCTACGTTTGTTATCTATTAGCTTAACATGTCAACTTGCAGTGTTGATCAGTTCCCTCTATCCGCACAACCCTGGACATTGCGTCAGCCGTGCACATGGGGATCCGTGGGGTTCATCGTCGTGGGACAACGGGGGGTGTAATATATCCTCAACAACCATGGTTACAAAGCACAGTACTCCGTAACTAACTAACTAACTAACTACACGTCTGAGTAATGAGTGACTCATGAAACTACCAATCCTCCCCGCTTCCCACAGATGTATATTGTGGGGTATTCAGCCTTGGCGGAAAAGACAGAAATAATGGCTATTAATGATCTCAACCAAATACCACCTCTGCAACCCCTCCTGAGTCCCAAGGGCGACATGCTAGCATCCGATTGAGAGATATTCACCTATACGGTGTACGCCTATCTTCCAATGTAATATACAGTATAGCAACAGGAGATAGACCGAGCTCAGCCATGCAGATCACCAAACTGACAGAGCAGCAAGCTTTCCTTCATTCCCCAAGGTTGCTAACTCCGATACATCGTCGAACACAAGTCACGTGACGGTAGGGTCCGACACAATCAACATGAGAAGGTACATAGTTAAACGCCTTTCTTTCTAATGACGTAGTAGTTACCTTACTTTTTTGAAGCCGTGATAGTCAGCACTGGCACCGTCACAATTGATGGTCACAGGTTGCGTTCACGTGGGCTCGCTGTGCCTGTCGCCCGGCATGTGTGACAATCTGCAGCTAGGACAGCGGTGCTTGCAGACATGTAGTTAGTGGGTGCGGAGACAAAGTGGATGGATGCTTTTTGCTTTTATTGGTGGCAGTGGGATTGTCGAAGGGTTTGCGGCCGATGATTTGGGAACAATGTTGTGTTCTGATGAGGGGAATGCCCGAACCTGCACTGGGGATTCGGATTGGGATCCACAGCTCTGGTGTGGGGGTGGTTTAACGACATTGCGATCTGTGTGTGTTGGCTCTGGGGCATGGAAATCGTATGTAGCGCGTTTCTCATATTCGGGCATATTTCGTAGAACTACCGATTATCAAGAGTGTTGCGGGGTTCATAGGGGATATATATATATATATATCGTGATATTCATGGGCAGGTTATATTTCATGCTGACATGCTGGCTGAGCATCCTGCTCTCTCAATTATTTATGTGCAATGAACAGCTGCATCACATACTTGTACGTGTAGCTATCTGTAATAAATGCATGCACTGCATATCTTGCGAGTCAGACATTTTCTTCATGAGCAATACTTACCGTATCAGATCACTTCTTCTTACCAGTCTCTTCACCCTCTCATCTCCCACTCTGGGAGCGAGGACACGTTCTCTCCTGACATCAAACGCAAAGCTCTCTGACTTAAATCTTTGCGAACTGGCAATTTTCATGACAGCACGGAACTGCATAATCGTTAAGTGAGAGGATCTCAGCACTTCCCATGAAAATGCTCACACTGGACCATGTTGCTTTTGACGAATGGCTTTGAGACTGGCTGACCGTGGACTGTGACGGAGAAAGGCATCAGCGGGTTACAGCAAAGATAGTCTCTAGTATCTGCAGCCAGAATCATTGATTGCACTAATCTATACACCGAAGCGAAAAAAAAGCCTCAGATATTCAGTTCACAGCCCTGGTAAGAGAATGATGTTTCTTTCTTTTTGCCGCCGACGTTACTTGAAAATGACCAAGTTCGCCCGCAAAAGTGGTAGCAGTGTGGTGATCGCGATGTCAGTAAATGCCATGAAGGAAAAATGAAGTCAAATCATCATGAAACTACTTTTCGAAGTTTTTTGTTTGGCGTATCATGACGTCATCACCATTTGGAAGAATAAAAAGGCTTATCAACCCGCGGCAAGCCGACAAACACCTATTAATGACAAGTATCTTTCAGACGAAGTAGCTCTAATCTGAATCAAATCTCAACGACAGTCACCATGGGTAATTGTCCAGCTGCCTTCTTCATTGCGCAGGCCGTAGGCTTGAGCGGCGCTGCTTGGCTTTCTGGTGAGTGTTTTATTTCCCGCCTTGTGTTCAACCGACGATGTACTACGCGTCCAAATACTCAGGCGGATGTCTATTGTAACTGGACTCTCACCATCGAAAGACGATATCGAGTTCAAAACAACATCAAACACGCAGTGGCAGTTGGCCAATGCTGATCATGCACACGATAAAATCTCAGGCAACATCGCTGCTTACAGCCTCAACGTCTGTCCAGCCCTCTTTACCTCCGCCCAAGAGAACAACCTCGCCCCCAGCACCGTTGCAAAGATATGGCGAAATGTATACAATCTGGGCTACGCGCAGAACCCACCGGTGAGCATGGTTACGGCCGCCGCATTCTTTTATCTGTCTTGGGCCACCCGTTCTGGAACAGCGATGCTCCATGAGAAAACAGAATGCACAGCGTCATTGTACTCTTCCGCCGGTATTCTCACGTTGCTCATAATCCCGTACACCTTTACGGTAATGGCTGGGACAAATAATGGGCTAATCGAACAGTCGAAGCTGGTCGAGTCGGAGCCCGTGGCTAAGATGATGGGAGCGAATAGTGAGACGGAGCGTCTGATGCGGAAGTGGGTTGTGCTCAATGGAGTGCGAGGTCTGATTCCCTTGTCAGGCTTTGTGGTGGGGCTTTATGCAGCTCTGGGAAGGCCGTTTCGCTAGAGGTGTATCGGTGACTATCTGTAGAGGAGAGGAGGTTTAAAATCTTCGAGCAGTTCTCCCTCTTTGACTTGCCGCTATGAGTATTGTCGACGGCATGGAGCTTTATATGCTTGTTTCGTTAAAAACTGCAAAAGCAAAATAACTGTTTCAGTCGAATTAATAGTGTAGATAGCACATAAAAACCGACGAAGAGGAAACTTTTTCCCCTTGCTTGACCGTCGTCTGACTATCACCAATGATACGTATCTATACCAGCTTCAACAGCAAAGTAGAATTCTCAATTGATTCCTACGACTTAAGCCATAGATATAGCTATGGGTTGCTCATAGATGTTAACTTTAAACAAATGATGGTCCATCAATCTTCGCTACAGCTGGAGGCCCGCATTTCGTGGCCACAAAAGCCCTCCTCAACGCCACTTGAGGGAAATTGGGCTATACATTGAATCATCTATGAGATCTTCGGATCGCTGGCAGCATGCAGGGTTGCATCCATGGGAGCTCAACTGCCGTTGCTTTGATATTTCTCCTTATCAGAGAAAGGACACTGAGGGTTATTGGATTTATCCTCCGCTAGGCGTTACGAGGATCAAGGAAATGCAAATGTGATTCAGTTTGGGAGCACCATATCTGCACTTTCACAACTGAGCATATTCGAATTTTCGGATGCCATTGAAGTTCGGTATCTAAGGTCGGTTGAAATTGTGAAAAGGATGTCAACCAGTCAATAACGCACCTCTGCATTCTCATCCTCATCCTTTCTACCTTCTCTCTTTTGCAGATATCTTGACTCCAGAAATCAAGTGTCACTCCCTAGTTGACTTATATATGTGGTATTAATCACAGGCAAATGGCCATGTCAGATAGACATATAGACGAAATGACATCTGGCGCAATTCATAACCAGTGCCTTTGAACACGATATCGGCGACATGTTGCTGTAGATAATGAAATGCGTCTCTTAACGTGGAGCTAAAATTCGATTCACCCGGCAGGTTCAGAGCTTGTGGAGAATGGCGGCGAAGATCTTTGGACCTTTGGCTTAGTTTCAGGCCGAGAGAAATTTTCCGAGGATCTAAAAGAGACCAGTTGACGCTTAGGTTAGACGAGAGGGGCTATCTCGGTTAGCCGACTGCTGGGCTCAATAATGACATTCATAGACGTTTGCTATAGCAAACACCCACTACTGCCTCTTCCTGTCCTCTCAGAGGGAAGACAGGAGGCAGAGGGAAGAAAGAGGAGACCGGGCCAAAGTATCGACACCCCGAACCTTATGCCCCTGCAATAAAAAAATCAGCCATTCATGGTCCTCAAAACAAGCGCCCAGGACGAAATGAAGGGCAAATAAAATAGCTATGCAGAACAACTGCGCATATGGAACGATGATTGTCACTTTCAAAAAAAAAGCCACAAAATGTAATATTCATGCAAAATCAGTATGTGACTTGCCTTGCAAGACACGATATTTTATGCTGCAGTTGAAGAGCAGCCTGAGGCAGTAGTTAAATAGTGCAGATACCTAAATCTCACCAGAAGGACAAGTAGCAGAGTTGCTGATTATCTTTCCCCAATGAACAGTAGTTCGACCACTGGTCGGATGCTTTGAGAGGATTATATAATAGTTAATTAACTAATTAACTAGTTAACTATTAACTAGTTAGATAGTTATTAACTTGGATGGAAGCTTTGAGGGTTAAATTGACGTTGTTGACTAAATAGTTCATCCTAACCAGCTATCCTCGTTGAGATTTTCCTGAGGTGGATTTTGTCCTTCACGCAATTTGCTGTGGTTTGCCAACTGACTCAGGAACCCACAATCAAGCAGCAACCTGGCAAGCATGTAACTATGGAGTGGTTACTGTACAGCATATTATTGTGACATTTCCTGCAAATGCCCTGATTTAGAGGTCGATGCTTTTGACGCAGCAATCCAAGCCTCATTCCCCCTTTTTTCTTTGGTACGAACCTGGGGTCCGCCCATCATCTCCCTGGAAAGACTGCTGCGTTTGTGACTCGTAACTTTTTCGTACCTTCTCTCCCACACTATGAGTTACGGATACCATCATGCACATCTACGACATGCTCCTCGGTGGCAAGAACTGCGTAATGTGTGTGGGAAATGAACCTGCATACCCATGCCTACATATATCCATTATGTACATGAGGGGATATACACAGACATTGTACCAGGGGTTGTTTGAGATGGCCCCTCTGCGTGGCAACTGAACTAGCGATTTGTGAAAAAGCCCAAACCCAGCAACGCAGACGCTGGAGGGGGCATTGGGGACCGCCATCTCGCTCGCCAGTCTTGGATTCTTTTGGAGGAGGCAAACTCTCTATGCCCCTCTTCCAAGTCATTTGTGGACACAAGACGCTACGGGTTTCGAGTTACTGGCTAGCTGGCATTAATTAACGGTTGTTGACAACTTTGACATGTTCCGTACTTTGATCAACGGTTATATTGACCGATAGAGGCGTTGGAGATTAAATCCATGGATGGCATCCGTGCGTCGAAATTTGGCACAACGGTTGGATTGCCCTGGCGGCGACTTGTTGCGAATGCGTCTGGAACCACTGTTGTGCGAAGAATTGCCCTATTACCGTCTTGTTCGCATTTTTTAACCACTTGGTTGCCTTGTCTTAATCCTCCGTCTGTTGGTCCTGGATAGAATTTACCCGCGCCATGATGAGCATTTTCCTGAATCTGGCGCTGGAGGCTTGCTGATCGAGTCGTTGATTCTCTCTCATCTATCAATTCCAGTTTCTGCAGAATATGCAGCTGAGTGATCCTACTTCTGGCCGATCCTGTCTACAAATCATTGAAGCTAATTTTCTAGGATGATGAGGGGTGGGGAGCACTCCCCTGAATTGGTGTTTCCTACAGAGGATATTCTTCTTCTATTGCAGAGACAGACACTTTGGGACTAAAAAAATATACCTTGTGCTTCCCATGGCCCATTGAAACAGGCAAAAGAAAGGCGGTCATATGTTTGCTGCACTGCAATGTGTATATATTTCGACACCTCATATGCACCACATCCAGATGGAGCACAGCAGTGCCAGCAGATGAACCTTGGCCGACCAGGGTCTTCCCAGAAGATCGTCCCACCTGCAAAAAGACCAGATCATTGGTTGATGAATCTAAGATCTTTTCTATGTGCTAATTATATTATATTATTATTATTATCATTATTATTATTATTTATTTTTCTGTTTCAAACCCATTTCAGGGTTCCAGAACAGTATTATCCGGTTAGACCAGTAAGAATACCTGTTTTCACCCAGCGATATGAGTGTTTGTCAAGAGTTTTGTTGACTCTCTGGTCAGTTCACCTCCTCCCCAATCACTCGACATTGTTTGCAAAAGCTTTCCTGCTTTAATCTTCTACGAAAAACCGAAGCTTCAATCCCCGTCAAATCACCTCCCATGGAAAGCTTAACTGTGTATCATGGCCCGGCCCCGATCCATTTATTGCGTCTGTTTTTACTAGGGGTTTGCGCCCGGTAATGGCGTTCCTTTGTTTTGGTCCTAAATCTAAAGAAAAAGAAAAGAAGTGGTTAAGATCGGTCTGATCACCTAACTGGGCCGCATCGTCCACACCATGGTGAAGCCTCGGAACAGACTGACAGGTTTTACCTTCGTCTCTGGAGGAACGGCTCTTTGAAACCAGCTCAAGAGGGTTTCCTTTTTCAGCACCAACCAGGAAACTTGTCACCAGTGGTTATTTATTTTTTATTTATTTTTTTTATTTTTTTTCGTTATTGACGTTCTTTTGTTTTACATTTTCTTTCTTTTCCTTTTTCTTTCCTTTTTTTTTGGGGGGGAGGAGGGGAGGGGGGAGAGGGGAGAGGGGAGAGGGGAGAGGGGAGGGCCTTCGATTTCTTCCATTTTTTTGTGTTTCTTTTTGGGTGCGGCATAACCAATGACAGCCCGCATACTTAAGCGGTTGTATGTGCCCTCATTCGTCCTCACCCCCGTTCCTGTCAAGCGTCGGGAAGTGGAATCGCTGCAAAAGGCCTCCACACCTCCCTAATGGAATTGTGCGGATTATCTCAAGGTGGCTGCAAAAATGAATCCCCCAAATGATAAATGTTTGTGCATCCAATACGAGATGATGTGATACTGATACCTCCCCCCCCCCCCCCCCCCCCCCAAAAACAACAACAACAACAACAATTACTTGACAACTTCTTCCCTCATTAACCTCCTTAACTCATTTATACACACCGATACACTGTTTGGGGTGCGGGTTGAATGAGGATCCTAGATGTTAGACCTGGAATATCTATCCGGAGGGCTATCTATCGATCGATCGAATGCACGAAAAGGGAACCAAAGCCCATGGACAGCCTCATTTTCGAATAACATCCCACTGGTTGTAATTCGATGATAGACGCACTGTGGCTGCTGTCCAGCTTTCCATCTTTCCCACCCAATAACCTTGCTTGTCTGGCTGTTGAGTTATCCTAATCTTGAAGTGGAAGAGGGCTAGCCACCTGAGATCCACAGAACACCTGCCCTTTCTTACCTTTCCTATAAATTTCGTGGGGTAGTTTCTTCTCTCTGGGCTGATCTCTTGGGTGGTTTTGTTGCCAATTAGCTGTTGTTTTTAAACCCCGTTCATTCTCTCTCTGGTTGTTTTGAACCCAACATTTACCCATAAGTCTGCAGTCTGCCATTATATATAACTTTTCTTTTATGTGTTACGCTAATTTCACTTCCTATCACCCCCTCCTCCGGCCTGGAATTCCCATCTTGCGAAGCTCGTTTCGATTTGATCTCCCTGCTCGTCAACATCTCTTGTCTCCCGCCTTGACCTTCCCACGAAGTCCCTAGTCGAAGTGCGCCACTGTCGGAATCTGGAATAGATGTCTAGCCATATCGATATCCTCATTTGACCACCTTCTGGTTTATCCTTTGCAGTTCCTGGAGAGCTTCGTATTCTCTGTTTGCTACCATTTCAAGCGGACCCATTTTACGAAGGCTCATTCCACCAAGTGACCGGACGGCTCAAATTCTGGCACCTTGAAAGCATCCTTTGTCACAGCATTCCTGAGGGCACTAATCAGAACGGATCCTTCCTCAGTTCCATTCAAGGAGCATTCTAGCCCCTCTGTGTTGAGTAGCTTTAGCTATATCCCTCCTCAACCGCCGAAGAAACAGCCATGCCAATCTCACCAAGACACCGAGATGGCCGGAGGCATTCTCGGTCATCTGATGAAGAATATGTCGTTTTTATCCAAGGAGTAAGCTCTTTTATTTTCTCTTTCCCCATGTCATCCTCCATACAGATTATCCGCGGGAAAAGGCGTTGATTGTTGGCCCCGCTCCTGATAGATCCCGCCCCAGTGTCGGTGGCAGGAACTGAAAGATCTTGTACGTCAAACTGCACTACATATACGACAGGCGGTAGTTTACGATGATTGCAACGGACACCCCACCGGACTAGGACAGATTATCATTAAGAATGAGGATGAAGCGTGGCGTACTTACCGTAAGCAACAGCAACGAAATAGTCGTTAATGTTGATTTTTTTTTTCTGACCAGCTCTATAGACAGGTTGTCAATCAACGGGTGGAATGGCAATTGCTTAACGGTTACGCTGTCACTCGCAAGTGCGCCAACCAAACCTATTGCAGGACCTACCAGGAGTCCATCCACAGGCAGAGTCCCATATGCTGCTGGGGGATTCTCGAATCCCCAGAGATGCGCATCCCTGGTTTCGACCGCGACAAGCACTATGCCCCCTGAGTAAGTTTGATAGGAACTGTCAGGCTTTCTCTACCCGCTTGGTGTGTGAGATAGCGCATGGGCTTACAAACAAGAGCAGGAATCTTTCGCCCCCTCCGCCCTATGCTCCATCACCAGAGTATTCGCACTTTATCACCAATACAAATACGCTTTGTCATACTCCGCTCGTTTCCTTTACGACGGATGTACTAGGTTACCAGTTCCCGGTGATTTACCCCACTGACATTCACTTCCCCATGCAAGCCTCGGTTCTGGGCCCGCAATTTGAACCCTCGCCGATCGGGGTCCACAGGTATTCCACATCAACTTGTATCCAGCCCCTTTACGAACTATATGGTCACATTATACCCCGTCAAACCTGTAATGCCAACAACAACGTTAACATACTTTGCGAAGATTCCAGAATGATACCCTCGTGTAGCATATTTATACAAAATCTTGCCAGTGACACCACGTGGCAATATCTAAAAGATTATCTCCGGAAAGCAGGTATTGTGGAGAGATGCGATATTCGCGAAGATCGGAAAGGGGGGGGTCGTCGATCAAGAGGATATGCGACGGCAACGTTCCGAACGAAAGAAGAAGCACGAAGAGCCATCACGCTTTTTGACAATACGTATTTCAAGGGATCAAGAATTCGTGTTCGGTTTGATCAGGATAATGGACGAAGCTGCAGCTTTACTGGAAATGGTGGTAGCAATGGTAACGTGAATGGGAGCGGAACGGACTCTCCTCCTTCTCATGTCGATCGGAACAAAAATATGGCCGTAAACGGAAGCGCAAATGGACGTGGATCTGGACCTGGAAATGGGAACAGAGATGGGAACGATGTGAAAACGAGTTCATCAGTCACCGCGCCTTCACCAACCGATCCAAAGTCACCCACGGTTGTGACTAGTCCTGTTCCGAAATCCAGTGAGTCTAGGTCCCCGAAGAGAAGTGAGCCATTAGTTGTCAACGGATCAAGGGTTGGATTGAAAGCTGGACGATCCAGAGGCGAAAAGGTTGGCTGCGAAGGTATGTCTTCAGCTTCGAATCGTCTTCCACTCAATTTTACAACCGCCAACTTTTCCCTCCATGTTTTTTATGTCCACATCATTTAACATGCCACCTGTACATCCAGGTGAACTTGCGCGAAAGATCCAAGAGATTCGACTGTGAAAGAAACTTAAGAAATGTGGCTTTGCTATAGCGGAGCTACTTACCAGCTTTCTTTGCTTCACCAGGTAACCTGTGGTACCATGGTGAGACACCTACATCAGTCCCCGGAATATTCGATGGCCTGCAAGCAGTGCACCAGGTGCCTTTAACCATCGGACGGAGGAATGCCTATGACGAATGACGAGTAAAGATGAAGAATGAAAGGAGCCAAAGGTCAAGTAGGCGTGTGGATTGGAGGTGACTGATAGATGAAATACCCAAGTTACATCCTATGCTATGCTATGTCATGCTATATACGGAAAATGACATGGCCCTGAATGAGAGCTATTTTGACTAATTTTTATTATTATTCAATTTGAAGCTGGTGGAAGCAGATTTTATTTTTCAGTTGATCTCATATGTTGTTTTATTTTAGTTACATTTTCACAATTTTCATTTGTCAATTTCTTAGGTAATATAATTCTCAAGCAAGTAAATTCTTTAAATGAGTGAATTATCAAAATCAATTTACTTTAATTTCTAGCATCAATGTGTACACAAAATGTAAAAAGCTTCAATTATAAAAAGAAGATGAAGATTTAAACTTAAGATATTTATTATTGTAAAGCAAGAATTATTTTTAATATATAAAGCTTTATATTTAACTATTTAAATTTTTTTAATTTAACTTTGATTTATTAATTAATAAAAGTAAATAAAATTAAATTATTATAATTTGTAAATATAATAATAATGATAATAATAATAATAATAATAATTAAATGTATTTATTATAAAAAAAACATATAAAATATAGTTATTAAATTCAATATAAAAAAGATTTAATTAGAAAAAATAATTAGATTTATTTTAACTATTCAATATATTGATTATATTATTATTTAATTATTTAATTATATAAATTATATACATCATTGCTAGCAAAGTTTTTAAATTTATATATATAAACATCTCAAAAATTCAGCTTTTACAGTACATTTAGACATATTAAAATAAGATATTATAAATCATATATAATTTAATTCAAAATAATTAGTTAGTGCAGAATGTGAATAATTTAGATTGTAATCTAGTAAGATAAAAGAATTTAAAATTGATAATTCATTTGAAAATTGCTGTTACTTCCATGATAAAATATCTACTATAGAGGGAAAAGAAGTCATTTTTTCATGTTCTCATTTACTTTACATTAATTTCTCTTCTTTCTTCTCTACTTTTGTCATTTCATTTCTTTTAACTTGATCAAATAAACATAAGTCATGAAGTGACTATGATAAATTAAGATCATAGCCACACCTGATAAAGAATAGGTACATGTAAGTTTGAGTATAGAGAATGCACATATTAAATTTTTAAAATGATAAAAATGATATTCTAAGAAAGATAAAAAAAAAAACACCTGCATCAAATCTATTCGAAATGAGCAGAACTTAAAATTAAAGCGACATGCATGGATAAAATCAGATGGACATTCATTAGTTTTAAGGATGAGGAGAGGGAATAATAAACTTAAGTACCAAATTTTATAAAATGTAGGATGGTTCATGCAAGGGCCTACTGCTGTAAGAAACATAAGGAGAACTTCAATAAAATATAATCTGGTGATACATGTGCCAAAGCAAGCACCCTCCAAGCCGAAAGCGAATAAAAGAGATTAAAAAAAGAAAGCAAAAGGGGGATTACTAAAAGACAAGAGCGCAAAAAAAAAAAAAAAGAAAAAAAAAAGATCATCTATTCTTTCTTCAAGATACTGCATGTTGATTAACCATCGCACAAAACATTTCAATGACCTTTTTCCTTTCTTCTTGTGCCCTCCCCGACATCACGATCACCGTCACCACGCTCAATAAAACCTTGCCCTACCCCACAACTACAACTACAAGAAATCAGCCGCCCTCGCCCGCCCACCAGACACCGGGGCTCGAACTGGAGACCGGGACGGAGATCGAGACCGAGACCGTGATCGAGAAAATGAACGTCGTCGCCCACCACCGCCCCCACCACGTTGCACACGCGCCCGCTTTTGCGGAGTAACAGAGCGACGAGGCGATTGCGAACAAGACGTGCTCTCCCTTCGCAAATACCGTGGAGATGGGGAAGGGGAGCGGTGCGGGGATACGGACGGATGTCTATTCTTGCTTCGGCCTCTGTGGGTTCTGGTGCGTGGAGGGGGCGTGATTGATCGATGGCGTGAGCGGTTTCTGCCGTCATTTTGTTGTTTTCGCGGCGGTGGGGAAGGGGAGCGGTGCGGGGATACGGACGGGTGTCTATTCATGCTTCGGCCTCTGTGGTGGGTTCTGGTGCGTGGAGGGGGCGTGATTGATCGATGGTGTGAGCGGTTTCTGCCGTCATTTTGTTGTTTTCGCGGCGGTGGGGAGTGTGAACGGAAGCGAGAACGGGAGCGTGAGGGGGAAGATGAAGGTGAAGACGAATGTCGTCGTCGTCCCCTACTTGAGCGGGGCGGGGGAGATGGGGAGCGTGAATATGAAGAGACTGAGTAATTTCTTGCTCTGCGGCCGGTGCCGTTGGCTTGGCCGCGGCGGCGGGGTGGGGTGGCTGAGCGTGATGGTGAGCGCTTGCTGCTTCGCTTGCCGGCAAGTGCTTTACCTCCCGATTCGTCCCTTCGGGTGGGCGGTGATCGACGGCGGACGGGAGAATATGAGACGGATCGAGATCTGCGGGATGCAGGAGTTGGGGATCGGGAATATGAGGGCTGTCTGCCCCGGCATCTGGTTGGTGGAGACCGGGAGCGGGAGCGGGAGCGGGATGGGGTGTAGCTTCTGTCTCTGCTCCTGCTCCTGCTGGTGCCTGGGGATCTAGGCATAGACGAGGGAGAGCGAGAGAACGAACCTGACCTTCGACCACGAGAAGGAGAACGGGAGCGCGAATAAGAACGGGACCTCGAGGTGCCGGTGTATGATGAGTAACTTGAATATGAGCTGACGGATTCCGAGTCGGATTCCGCTGCTCGCGCAGGCAGGGCGGGGATGGCTGGCTTCGGCATATTTTTCAAATGCTCCCGCATCCCTTCTGTGAGAACACCCATGCCGATACTTGTGAAGTAGTTGATTGAGAAACGGGTGTTTCTTGGATTATCAGTTGGGAACAATCCCTCAAAGCTGGGCTTGAGTATTTCATCGTTGAGGATTGCCTGTAGTTTCGTCATTCCAAGGACCTCTGTGAGTTCCTGGAAGAGAATCTTGATGAAGATACGACTGCTGGATGTCGTCTCTTCCTCATTAAGATGCACTATTGACAATGCATGCCATCCAATAGCGTCCGAGCTGAACATATGTCCGAAGAACTTTGCAATATTCCGGAGCCGGTTCGTTTCGTAGCGGTGGATGGTCTCATAATATTTGACAAAGGCAGCCTCGTACAAGTCCGCCCAGAGCCTGTTGAGCTTCGCAAAACGCTCCCCGATCAAGCCGTAAAATTTGGAATAAGTCCGTTCCTGCGAGCAACACTCTATAATCATGGACGGAAGCTCCGACTCCTGTCCTGGCGGCAAGGTAATCTTTATGAGCTTGTGACAGCATTCTTCGAAATCAATACTCGACATGATAGTAAGATAGATCGTCCGCCGCAGATTGACAAGATCCGTATTGCTCCGGTCCTTGATATCCATCTGCTTGTCCTGTTCATCTTCTTCGTCTTCCTCAGAGCTGTCATCCGTCCCCTCCTCGTCACCACCTTCCTCATCACTAACCTCACCCAGAATCTCGGCTTTCAGAGTTTTATACGCCGTCTCATGTTCCTCCCACTGAGCATCGTACTTGAAAATATTGAGTCCATCCTGGACATCGATTTCGTCATCAAGGCTCACGCGATGTGTGATCTGGTCCTCCTCCTCGACGAGATCGAGCTCTTCTTTGATCGCAGGATTATCCTTGTAATTATCCTTACGGACCTGGAACAACACCTCGATCATATATTGCACACGTTTATCAATATCTGCCTCGTGGAGAATATTCCTGAACTGGTCAAACACCGCCAGCGCGATCGGCCCTCCCATTTCCTCCAAGAACTGGCCTACCTCCCTTGTCAGTCCTACGGCTATCTCCACGCTATCATCCGTAGGCTTATGAAGCAAAAGAAGGAGAATCTGCGCCGCGACCATCTCATGTGCCACCTGTTGATTGCACAGGTGCGCGATAAAAGTAGTCGACGAGATACAAACCGCTTTATCATTTCGCTTGAAAGCCTTGCGGAACTGGACGATGAGCCGATTTAGCAAAAGCTCACCGACCTGTGGAAGTTTGGTGTTGACAATAGCAGCCATGGCAGCGTAGATGGGCGTGAAGGGCAAGCTGGCCGCCTGCGCTTTCATAATACTTCGACAAAAAAGACCCCTTCCCCGGACGAGGTTTTCGCCAAAGAGCTCGGGGACGATATGCTTGATATTCGAAACGTTGACCTTATTGATTAAACCGTTGATGGATTTCTTGAGAGCCTCCCATGCCATCCGCTGATACTCCTTGCTAGTTTTGTCCGTGATCTGAGCTTGCAGTGCTCTGAGTTTCGCAGGGGGAATATACGTTCCGCCAGAGCGCATATTCAGCAGCTTCTCATATTCCGCTTTTGCAGCAGCTTGCTTCTCTTCTTCGGTAAGGGCTTTTGCTGGAGCTTCTCGCTTTCGCAGCCGTTCCGCGAGCTGTTGCTCCCTTTCCCGATCCACAGAACGATCGGTCTCGCCATACGGCCCATGAGGCCCGTCTCGAGAAAAGCCATTTGGGGGAGAGCGTCGTCGGTCAGGTGAGGGGGAACGAGAGGGTGGTGACCGTTTTCGAGCACCTAGGGGCTGGGGGGAGAAGGATATGCCAGGCGGAGGAGTTGGCAGGCGAACGGCCGACTGTAGCATCATTGGATCTTCCATTTTCTTAGTAGTATGTGATGCTCTCGTGGCTGCGTTCAAGTCATGTGTTCGATATGGCTGTCCACTCGAGGCCCTTGAAAGGAGAGTGATACAGCTCGCCGTGTTTGTTCTTGGTTGTTGAAGATGTTGTTTTGTTCGCAAGGGTTAAAAGATCGTCTTGTCAAACCGTAAAAGTTTTTAGCGCGTTGTGTCGTCACGTGATATGTAATTGCCCGCTGCGCTTTCGTAAACAAGAGAGGGATAAACCCCTGAGAAGGACGGGGGAAGAATTGAAAATTGTCGACTCGAGAGTTATCTAGACAGACTTTGTGGTCAAATTTGTCGCGCGGGGAGATCCAATTTGCGTGACTTTTGATTCATTACACTCAAATCCCAAACGGGCAGCTTAGATATTCTCGTTGCAGTGATGGTGATATTCCCATGACCCCCCCCTTTCTTTACAAAGTGCACATCGCTAACCAAGTATTTACACACCAGTCTGGACGTCTCATCGGGCTAGCCATGCTTTTAGTGGCGACAGCGGTTTACCTATACTACACAGCATGGACTCTCCTTATGGTATGAATTCACCACAAACCGCGAAACCCAAACGGACAGGCAAAACAACAGTAGTTGACAAGTCGGCAAAAAAAAAAAAAAAAATACTAATGGAACCAATAGCCCTTCGTTGACGACGGCCATCCACTCCACGACCTCTTCCCACCGCGAGTCTGGGCGATCCGCATCCCTGTTATCCTGACTCTGCTCGGTTCCGCAGTCGTCGGAACATTCCTTGGTGTGGTTATGATTCGGAGTAATCGGAAAAAAGCTGCGAAGGCGAAGGCGGCTGCTAAGAAGAAAGCGTGACGCTTGGGTTTTTGATGCAATTATTATTATTATTATTATTTTTTTTTTGTCTTTGTTCTTTTTATTCTTGTGAATGGGGTTTTGTAATGCGCAGCAAAGAGCAGATAGAAGGGTGCTCGGTAGATGGAACACGAGAGTCAGGTTGAAATATCACTGGGTCGGACGGTTGGGATCATTTGCTCAAGGGAATACCCGATTGATTGTCCTCGCCGTATATATGTTAGAAATATGATATGCGTATGCGTATGTGTTGCATGGCCTTTTTTCATTCAGGTGTCAGCACAAACGTGTCATTCTGTGCAGATTTCCTCCGAAAATAGATATCGTACTCAAACCACCTGATTGGATATATAGGTTATGAGTTAGGAGTTGGGGGAAGTGCTGTACATCTGAGGGCGCAGGCTGCTAGCAATCCAAGGATTCTTGGAACCCGAAGTCCACTTATCTCATGATGCTGCTGGTTATTCTACTGTATCATCACGCCCGCGATACATTAATTATGCCTTCGTGTGATCCAAGCATTCCTCCACGTCACATGATCGTACATGACAGTCACCAAGGGCATCAAGTTTTGCCGTTTGGACAAAGTGTCCCAGGTGGAAACATGTGTATGTACCTGATAACGGCAGTATGCTCGTGGCAAATGGAATGGAGTATCAGAGAAAGAAACGGGAAGATTCAACGAGCAAAATGAAGGTGGAAAACGGGATACGGGTGCCATTGTCTTAAAAAGTCAACATGCCCATCTTGCGTTGTCTTCTCTTTGTCTTTCCTTGTCTCTCCTTGCCTTGCGCCCCAATCCTCAGCCTGATGCTGTAATTGAATTTTCGGAAATCAGGTGTTGGGGCGGAAAACTGGGATATTTGTTACTACGATCCCCGAAATAACATACTGACCAAACGCTATTCGAAGACGCCAGCGGGACAGATCTGGATAGTAAAGTACCAGAGCCTGTAGTCCAACTCCATCCAGGTCGTCCAGTAAAATCCTACGTTTTGGTTTAAACCAGATATATATGGTCTGTCTCTCTGCTCCATCCGAGACAAAAAAGAGCGCATGAAACAGTGGTGTCCAGCGTAAAGAGGGAGCTGTCTACGATGAAGGAAGGGTACCTGGGCTCTACCTATCAGGACGCTTCTCAACCCCCCTTTTAACTTACCTGGACTTTGCGTGTGGGATAAGCCGTACCCTGAAATGAACCTTGGAAGGTACTTACAGAACATCAACACCAGTCAGGGCGTCAGGGGGGATGTTGTCCCTTTCTCCTTTCTCTCCCCCGAGGTGTTTGTAGAACCTCCCTTCACCCCCTTCACCCCCTTCACCCCCTTCACCACCCACTTCACCACCCAACTTCACAACCCCCTTCTGCCCCTTCTGCCCTCCCTCTGTGCCCTGGCTGTTGTGGCTGGCTCGCTCCCCCTCCTACGTCATAAGCACGTGTCCAGTCATGTGGTGCCTGATCGGCGGGTTTCTGGGCAGCCCAGTGGACCTGAGCCTCCTATCCCCCTCCCCCTCCTCTCAAGGCGAATGGCTAGAGGTTAAGGCTGGGATCCATGGAACCGGCCATCGCCCCTCTAAAACGCACCGCAATGCCAAGGGATTTCTTACATAAGCAGAGGAACGCCGGTCGGCAGCCAATCACGGGCTGTATCCCGTCACCTGGCGCGGAATGGCGGGAGCCGCGTCCCTAGCTACCCATGGGCCTGTGGGATGTGTCATCCTCAGGGAGAAACTAACTAACTAATTAACTAATTAACTAATAGTTAGTTAATAGTTAGTTATTTAGTGAGTGAGTGAGTGAGCGGAGTGAGTTAGCTGGTTGGTTCGTTGGTTCGTTGGTGGGTGGGTTGGTTGGTTGGTTGGTTAAGTTGACCATCACTAACCAACCGGTCAGCCAGTTAGTTAGTTAGTTAGCTAACTAGCTCACTAACAATCAAACCAAACTGGCTGGTTTGACTCTCTGCTGGGGTTGCCCCTCTTGTCTTGCTGCTGCTATCTGCTATCTACTACTACTACTACAACAACAACAAAAACAACAACTACAACTACAACTACAACTACAACTACTACTACTACTACTACTACTACTACTACTACTACTACTACTACTACTACTACTACTACTACTACTACTACTACTACTACTACTACTACTACTACTACTACTACAACACCTCAGCAACACCTCAGCAACACCTCAACAACACCTCAGCAACACCTCTGCAACACCTCTGCGCTGTTCTCTACCAACTGGGATTCCCCCGTGGTTTCGACCGCCAGCTTGCCCTCGCCCTGTTGAACACCATCGTCCTCTCCGTACCTTGGTAGCTAGCAGCTATCAGCCATCTCGCAGCGAACTTTCTGCCGGGAGCCGCTGTTTCTGTCTACGCTTATTTATTTCCCCCCCCGCTCTACAGACCACATATACCTATTACCTCCTCCGTACCTATAGCTGCCCATAGCTGCCTGCATATAATACCGCCACCTCACTTCTCCTAATCTTGAAGCTATCATTCAAGCTATTTTTCCAGCGATATCTGGCATATCCATCCATTACGATTATTATCAGCCGTGCTCGTCTGCTACCATCCGTCGTCTCGGGCTGGTCAACCGTTGACGGGTTATCCTACGATACCTCCTTGCTCTGTACCTCCCAAATATCTTCTCTTTATTCGAGAAATTACCAGGCGCGTGCTTACTTCCTCATAACACCTTCATATTGTCTCGAACCTATCCGCACATTTTCTGGCCTTGGGGTGGCCGCCTTTCCTCCACTAGAACCCTACCGCCTTTTGGATGCCCCCAGCATCTACACTCTCCCGCCGGCACAAACCTCCAGCGACCAAGTCACCCTTGTCCCAGCAGCTCGGCACACAGCCAGAACCACCTCTCAGTCGTCAAGCTAAAAGAAAGGTCGGGAATGCCGTCGGGAGAGAGGATGGGGCTGCCAAAGCTGAAACGAAGGAATCCCAAGACGATATGTACGTTCACATCAACCTATCTCCTTGGTTTTTTTTTTTTTTTTTTTTTTGTGTGTGTGTGTGTGTGTGTGTGTGTGTGTGTGTTTTCCTGCATCGGGTTCTTCCTTTGGCAACTCCTATAAAGCTCTTACATGAATATAATATAATACACGTGTATATCTAAACGACCATCTTTTGCAGAATGTTCTTATCTCCACCTACAGAGCCAGACGACATCCCCAGCCAATCCCAGCCAGCGGAGCAACAGCAACCAAATCATGTCGTTTCTCCCGTCTTGGATGCTCTAAATTCACTGGGTGGTCAAGACAGTCATGATACTGCTCATCGAACTGATTCTTGGGCCAAGTCAATTCCCTTTGGGAAGAGTCCTCCCAATGATCTTATTGATGGGCTGAGTATTAGCGAATCACCCCCCCATCTTGCCGCACCTGGCGACAAGGGAGGTTTCAGCCACAGCACCTCACCAGCCTCACCACCCCTGGGGAAATCTCGACCCCTGAGGCATGGAAGCGGAAATGGAAATGGACATGCGAATTACGTGCCATCAAGATACCCATCTGGGGATAAACATCAGCGGTGCTCTTCGAGCAGTCATCCCATGAACCAGATTCCCCTACCTCATCTACCCCAACCGCACTTCTATGCCGCACCAGACATTGAGATACCACATTTTCCAAGCCCCAATATGCGGGCATTAGGGGAATCTGGTTACACTTTCTGTACTTTTGATTCGATTGCAAATCCGCATCCAACAAAAACAAACAAAGTTGGCAGCAATGTCGTATTAGTTGGTCGTGATGGCTGTTTGGAAATTCTTGGCATGGAAGGTGATAAAATTAAAGTAGTTGGGAAGCTGGATGGTCTGATTGGAAGAGTGTTCGATGCGAAGATTTTGACCTGTGCATCCAAAACTGATCCTTTTGCATCTTGCCGGCCGCTGGTGGCAATATCCATACATGGCCCTGCACTCGCACCTGAGGATGGCGGTGTTTCCTCGTCAGCATCTTCAGATCATGTTGAAATAGTACCGGCAGTGTCAAACACACAATCAAAGCGTGGGGAGCATCCTCACGTGCAAACTCGAGTCCAAATATATTCTCTCAAAACACAGGAGCATATTACGACGTTATATTCAACGAAGCCGGTGCCGTATCTCGATTACTTTCCTGGCTTGCCAGCGTCTGCCTCGTCGCCTGTGGGGAACCTAAAAATCCATGCCAGCGGTAATTTCCTCGTCATTGCCTCTGGGACTAGTGGTGAGGTTTTTATTTACAGTGTAGCCCCCAATTCGTCTCCAGGTGCCTTTCAGTGTCTTGGGAAAACGTGGACTAGTATGAAGTGGAAGGATACTCGCCGGTATTCTAGCTCATCAAATTCAACAACTGACGTGGACGATTACCAGTCAGATGCCAGTGGTCCATCTGCAAACCCCGAAACCCCAATTGTATCTCTTAGTGGTCGATGGCTAGCTGTCGTTGCCCCTTCGGCCTCGCACCGAGTTTCTCTTCATGGAACTATTCCTTCACATCTGATCCAGAAGAAAACTTATGGTTTGGATAGCCACACACCTCCCTCGCGCCCTTCTGTGACCTGCAGCGTTGACTCAGGAGAAGGAGAAAGTCTGCTCAATAAAGTAGCAAGAGGTGTCACGCAGGAGCTATTCAAAGGCGCTCGGTGGATTGGAGATCAGAGTGTCCAAACTTGGAATAGCTACTGGAATAAGGACGGCCAATCGACGCAGGCTACCAACTCTCGTCGTCCTTACCCGTATGACACGCAGATGGGACACAACATCCTCCCGCCAACCCATGCCCCTGACACTCAGTCAGGGCTGGCAGGCGAACCCGACCTTGTGTCGATCATTGATTTGAAGAAATTAGAAGGATCCCAGGATGTTAGATCATCCTTCCCTCTTCCAATTGCAACATTCCAACCGCCAAATGGATGTAGTTTTCTCTCGTTCGCACCCAGTGGTCTCATGTTGCTAACCTCCAGCAAAAAGGGCGATATACAACATATCTGGGATCTCATGCAGGTAAACCACTGCAGATCGCGAGCATTTATATCAGATGACCTCACTTCAAGCGGAGTCGCTTCCAACCCTCCGGCCCTGCACGTACGACAAGTAGTGCGATATGCTCGACTGACCACCTCAAGAATCGTCGATGTTATCTGGACTGCTCCCACCGGAGAGCATCTGGCAATTATCACCAAGAAAGGCACCGTTCATGTCTATGACCTTCCACGCTCTGCATTCCAATGGCCACCTCCACGCCGCGTTGTGCCGTCCAAGACGAACCAGAAGGATCCTTCTACCGGCGATGATCATGAGGAAGCTGCTCCCAGTAACCCGTTCTCTGCAGCCATGAAGCTTGTCGGCGGCACGACTCAACCCATTCTGGCTGCTGTACGAGGCCGTGCCCCAAGTGTCGGGGCAGCTTTTTCAGGCGGCGCAGGCGGGTTAGGACTCACAGCTGCCACGGGTGTGCGTGGCGGTGGTAAAGTTGTGGCCGCGGGCCTAAGTAAATCAATGGGTGCGGCAACAGGTACCGTTAACACCTTGCGGCACGTAGGCGAGAATCGTCTACACCTTTCCGGTTTCTCTAGAGATGCTGTACCGGCGCGTGTCACCTGGCTTGACAACTGCAGCGAAGACGAGCCGATATTAGCCGTGATTGAGAGCGGGATTTTCAAGGCGTATAGAATCCGACGGAGTCTGGCGGGCGGCAAGAATAAACAGAGCCACTCCGTCATTGGGAGTAAAGTGTCCGAGATCCGACTGCCGGCCAACGTGCAGGTACCCAGTGGTCCCGAACAGGCACAGGCACAGGCGCAGGCTCTCGCACTGCCAAGCATACCCATCCCAGTTCCCGTACCTCCCCCCGTGTCCGTGCCCGCAGAACCTCACGTCTCCGGCTTCTGGACCCTACCCTCCCAGACCCTCATGCGGCGGGGCAGCGGCAAGCTGAAATCCCAACCCCTCTCTCAGGCCGAGATAGAAGCCAACGCACCGTACCAGCCCTTCCATACGGACCGGAGGGTGAATCTCTTCGTCTATCCGCCCGGTCACGAGGAGCATGCCAGCATCCAACAGTCAGAGCCACAAACGGAGCCGTGGGTCTTCGGGAACGAGATACCGGGCATAAAACTTAACCTGCGCGCTTCTATGCATGATGGAGGGGATGATGAAGGGTGTGGTCTGGATGGCAGTGCCGGTGGTGCTGATGGCGGAGGGGAGATAGAGAGTATGATTAGTCTTGGGAATGAGGGTGGAGATGTTGAGCACGTTGTTATTACGGCGAGGAGGAAGAAGAGGGGGGGGATGGGTTCGTCGGGGACCGCCGATGGTGATAATGCTAATGGTGGGAGAACTGAGGAAGGTGGGTTCTTTGAGGATGATTGTGATGTGTTGGATTTTGCGAGGGATCGGGTATGATTTTTTTTTTTTTCTTTCTGGTATTGTGGTTTCCCAATTTTTACAACGGGTTTTTTCTTCTTCGGTTTGTTTATTGGGTTACCCTTGCGAGATGGTGTCCTTGGTTTCTCCTTTATTGCGCGCATATATATATATATATATCCCCTTTTTATCCGAAGTGCTGTTTCTTCTTAAATATTCTCTCCGTTTGCATGTGGGCAGGTTAGATTTTCGATTGTGGTGTTGGACGGTTTATGCTCTTTTGTTCTTTTTTTCTCTTATGCTGGTACCTACAGTACGGCGTTTCTCAAGAAACCGTCCCCTGCAGTCTGTAAGGCATCCATGATGTGGGCCTCTGATATATGCATTGTTGCTTGATTCTGCCAGGTGTGCTTGATGCAATATAGGTTATATATTATCATTATTCGTTTCCTATCTGCCTTTTTTGCATTTCCGAGTTATTTTCCTGGGGTGGTTTCTGGTATTTGGGATTGCACATAACTCTTGACAGATTCTTTGAATTTTCAGATGGTTGGTGTATTTGGGCTTATGATATGGGAGATGGGATTTCTGCACATGTTCCATGTTCCATACTCTATGATCTATCATAGGGTCTATGTTGGATTCGTGCTCTCTGTTTGCTTAATTTGTTTATGATCAGAAATATCCATGAGGAACTGACTGTAGTGGGTTTATTGTTTGATTACCACTATTGAGTTTGATGCATTGAATTGCTGGCATCTTCATTTTCCATTTGTCCATCGCCGATTTTCTTATTTTGTTTCTCATCTATACGTCATTTTAAATGTTTAATAGGGCACTCACATACATACTTTGGAACTTAGACAATCCAAATCAACCCAACACATATTAGCCATAACCATCCTTACTTTCCTGGATAAGAAGAGGGAAGATATATATAATAAGATATATATAATACCGGCATCTGCACCTCCATGAAGTCACCCGGGAAACCCAGTGTCCTACCTGCAACCGTCCCTACCAACCATCACCCTCGCAAGGGAAACGCAAACATCACAACACGATCTACATGATAAAGCAAACCAAGCTATTGATATTCCCCTTGTGAACCCCGTCTGTCACATATGAACATAAAGAGTGGAATATAGCACTTCTCATCCGCCCAGCCGTACTCAAGCCACTAGCTGGCCTGTTGGTAATTGGGTGGGTGAACCACCAGCGAATCTGGGCTTTCATGTGTCCTTTTATCCATTTACCTAGCGGGGAATTCACTGAGAGATATTGGGGTAGACATTGATGGACACTGTCATGCCTATTATATGCATATGGCACCTAGACAGTTCTGCGAGGGTGATTCATGATTGATCTGAATATTTCGAAGGGGTTCCAATCATGTATTAGATGTCCGACGGACTTCTCGCATACGAGAGGATAGACGGGGTATCTTCTTGCTAGAGTTGGAAGCTCAATGTTTAATAGTTCTACGGAGACATCATATATATGCCCAGGTGAGATGCGACCCTCTCATAAAGATGACACATGCATGAGAAATGGAGAACGGGGAGTTCCTCAAACCCGCAATCCCCTCCAACCGCCAGAAGAAAATCACAGTGAACACAAGAACCATCTCAACCACACCTCACCTCTCCCCATTCTCCTCCTCCCACCATTCCCTAAACACCTTCAACCTTTCCGTCCTCACCCTGGCCATCTCCCGGCCAGACTCCGTTTTCATCATCCCCTCCAGTTTTTCCAACTTTTCTCCAAAATGCTCAATCGCCTGATCCAACTCCCAGCAGCTCCCCTCTTCCCCTTCACCTCCCCCGCCACCAGCCCTTCCACCTCCCTTAGCCCCTAAATAGGTAAAACATCTCGCAATCCCCACCGCACCCAAAGCATCCAGCCTGTCCGCGTCTTGCACGATAGCTAGCTCCGGATACCCTTCTTTATCAATGAGGCGGCGGATTAGATCTGGATCCTTCACTTCAGTAGAGAAGGAGACGTGCGAGATGATTTTGTTTACTCTGGCTGCTAAAACCGGATTTGCGCCATTGGATAGCATGGCATGGTAGACGACACCATTGCTGCTGCTGCTGCCCGAGTGAGACGGAGAGGGAAGATACTTCCTATCCTCAATGTCATGGAGGAGGGCCGCCAGCGTTATGGCAGTGTCATCCATGGAAATTGTAGACGATGGGTTCCTGGCACGCTCGGAGGCGAGGAGCTGGTGTGCCAGGTGCACGACGCGGTGGACGTGGCGTGGATTGTGGGACGGGTCGTGGTTGCGCATGCATTGGGCCATGTAGGCGGTCATGCGGCTAATGAGAGTTGTGGGATCGGCGGTCTCTGTTGCGGTGGTCGTGGTCGTGGCACCCACATGTTTGTGCATGGATGAGGAGCACATTATTTGGTTTATTGATTTTGTGGAACCGTCAAGGCGTGTGGAGAGAATGTGATTTGAGGGTATGGATTTGTTGGTATTTTGTCGCTGTATTCATTCATAACTTTTTGGGATTCAATTGGTTATTTAAATCGTGCTGGAGGGAGGTTATCGGGTGTGGACACGACAAAACTATTTTAGCAGAGTGATTCAGCTCCTGGCCTGGACATAGAGCAGCAGAGGGTGCGGTTCTCATAATTAAATGATTAAATGCAATTAAAACCATCTGTTCCTCTATGGAGGACGAACCGTATTGGTATAGTCGATATTGACAAAGCAACCTTGAAAATGAGAGTCCAGAATGGGCTGGCTCTTTTTCCATGGATATGTTATATATTTATGTGAGCAGGTATTTTGGCAGACGAGGCTGGCGATAATAATGTCTGACTGCATATAGTCCAGTAAAAATGAAGAATAATAGGAATGATAATCGTCAATTGCTTGCTTGTCACGAAATCCTGTAGGCATTCGCAGAAGAGAAACATTTGAGAAATTGTACCTCCGATAACTTTCCCAAGCTTGATTTAAAAAGTATTCATCTTAATAATCTACGGGTGCAAGTTTAGCATTTAACTGTTTCAAAGCACTCTATGCCATTTATAAACGAAATGAAAACCATCCTCCAGTGTCGAGGAAGTTTTTGCATGACCATTTAGAGCATAAATAACAGAATAAGGGATATCAAATTTCAAAAACTGTCACGCGAAAGAGTTATGACAATTATCAGGCAGGGCTAACTTCCGCCAACAAAGCTAGAAAATAAATAAAACAAAAAAGAAAGAAGCCGGATTAAAATTATCATCCCGCCTGAACACACAAGACCGAGTAATTAATTTTCCAAACTGGTAAATTAATAAACAGACAAGAGATTGTGTAGTGCATTCCCTCACTTTTCGCGTGTGTCGGAGTGCCTACTCATACACCATTAAGCCAACCGTCAAGCTACCGACCAGTTTTAGGCCAGCGGGCTTTTACAACACGGCGATTTTAACTGCGGAGGCACTGGTTGTAGGTTCATGTAAAGTGTCGCGTTTAGAGAACGACAGCAGCCATCAGGAGACCGACAATGCCAGCGGCAAAGGATCCGAGTTGGACGTTAATAACGCCAGCACCACCGGATGGGGTTGTTTGAAAGTTGCCGGTCGAGGTACCATTGGGAGGTGACGCTTTTGTCAACACCCATTGTTAGCATTTATCTGTAAAATTGTTCCTGTAACAAGACTGGGATAGCAATGAAGGGTATCCCGGATCACTTGAGTTAAATAAAAGGGGTGATAAAGAGCTGCCTTACTGGTAGTGGAAGCGCTTCCAGTGCTGGATGGAGTTGGGGCAGTGCTGGAGCCCAAGAAGAAGGCTTGGATGCAACTGCTCTGGCACATCGCATAGTTTTGGATATCGCTTGGGGATCCGCTGCCTTGATTGCAGCTCATTGCGCATTGGTTGGTCCTGTTTGCCATGCTGTTGTCGGGGCAGGGAACACCTAAGCAGCTCGCTTTACAGCAGACACTAGACGAGGGGCCTGTTCAGAATGTCAGCAAGATCTCGAGCTATGCAAGAGATGTATCAAGCGCAATTGTCAGGTTGCCATACAGGAGCTAGCGCACATGAGCTGTGGAGAGAGAGAAGTTGTAGTAGTAGTAGCAGGGTTTTCCTGAGGCAGAGCGGCGGCAGAGGCAAAGAGGCCAGCAAGGGCCATAAGGGTGAAAAACTTCATATTGGCGGTATTCGGGGTGAAAGGAAGGCTTGAAAAGATAAAGAGTAAAGAATCAAAATAGTTTTATGCTCGTTGTATTGAAACGGATGGGAATAGGCAAGAAGGCGAGAAAAAGGTTTTAATATAGGAAACGAGTGACTGTTTTCTTTTTTTGGGGTAGTAGAAGAAAGAAAATCCGCGTTCTGAATCCAACGAAAAGCCCTGTTTTATATGAGGGAATAGAGAGAGAGGGGATCTGAAAGACAGTGCGTAACTTTATGCCAGGCGCTTTGGGGGGGTGCACCGCACGATCGGGGGCTTCTCTGGGGTAAACTACTGGAACCATTCCTCAATGCCCAAACCCCTTAAACCTGCTCGTGGTGCTCTCTTGAGGGCCAATGGGGTTCTTCGGTGGCGTACATAAATCATTGGCTGTGTAAACCGAGCGGAGGGTCATTTGCCGGCCATCTATTTTAGCACGCCCAGGCTCGTGTTCACAGTGAATAATTAGTGACACCGGTCGAGCTTGTCAGGGGCACTGCGATAACACCAAATTTTGCCCTCTTTTTTTTTTTTTTTTTTTTTTTTTTTTTTTTGGGTTTTGGTTCTCGGTGTTTTCCTGGCTCTTTTTCTCTAGCAGAATGCATTTTGGAAACTGGGTATCTGGCCCACTCCTGGTACGGAGTAGTGATTCCTGGTCTGCGTAGGTTGTAATTTTTGTCATGTACTTTTTCCTTGCTTTTCGGATTCGACTCCAACAACCAGCTGCGGTTGGTCACCCATATTCTCGGATGGTTTTGCCACAGGGTTTGGTAGAGTGGATCCATGCGTACTGTTCGAGAGCCAAAAGCTGTCTCAAACTAACCCTGACGGTTGGTGCCGCTGGCCTTCTCTGCTTAAAGGATGCCAACGAGTGTAAGTGCTAACGACCACCTAACCTGACTCGAGGACTCCATCTTGCCGCGGTAGATAAAATACCGGGGACGTACACGTATTAATTAGAGAGCATGAAGCATAAAATTCAATGGGCGTGGTGGGCTCCCGCTGCGATTCATATGAATAAAATTCGAGGATTTCAGCACCGGGAACCAAACTCAAGATGAGAGACGCTGTCCACGGGTCGCTGGAATTCCCTTCGCTCGCTATCATCCAACCGGTTTAACATGATTCATCAGCGTTCCTTTGCCCCGTTAGCACCGAGCGCGAGCCCAACCAGCGACTGTCCCCGGTCGAACGTAACCGAGGAATGGGAACATGGAATAGTTTATTTCGGATCTTTGAACGTGCTAATTAACAGTAGTAATCCATGACATCTGTGACGTTGAGCTCAGAACATGAGCGCCACGGTCGGGCGGACCCGTGGTTACATCAGCAACAGCCATGACGACGAACCAACTAGACACCTGCAGACAACCTGGAGACAACCCGCTACTCTGCATTCATTGCGGAGTACGTTGGTTACGGAGTGGATGCTCGGAACCTCGCTGCTGGCTTGTGCAATAAGGATGATTTATATGGCTGGCTGCTGAGGCTATCCTTTCCTTTTCGTCCTTTGCCTTTTTGATGTTTTCTCTTGTCTTTACCACCCCACAAAAACAATGTCCACCTCCCTTGGCAGCGAGTTCAGTGACATCGGAGACGATGTCATGCTCACTGCTGCCGACAGAGCCCCATACGCTGATCCAGCGCCCGCCAGCTCCGATGGCCCTCGACCTCCCAAACGAAGACGCATAAGTGATGCCCAGTTGGGGCACAAACAGGACGTGCATTCCTCAGAGGACGAGGATAGCGCCCGTCAGTCAGATTCTGACCTGCAATCCTTGCCATCGCGTCGCAGAGAACCGGTGGTCAGATGCAAGGACAAAGCAATTGCCAAAGCAGCTGCTCCAAAGTACAAAATATATCAACCGAAACACCCACGGCCTCAGGAGGCCACATTTGTAACTCAACTTACCCAGCCTCCCTCAAGCCCATCGGCACTTCGTGGCCCTCGATGGAAAAAGCCCGACCGGGAGGTGCTTGATGCAATGCCCGCCCCGCCACCTGTTGTCTATGAAAATCAGCCTAGTATTGGGGAGATGGATGATGATATAGATGATGATCTGAAAGCAGCCATTGCAGCATCTCTGGAAGCATCTAACGGCGAAGATTCAGGAGTTGTGGAACCTCCGCTTAACCCCAAGGCTGGAAACCCCCCAACCACAGCTCATTCTAATTTTAGAGCTCAAGATCTCCCTTTTGATCTGGCAGATGTCCCTGATGACGCTTTTGACTCTTCTATTGGTTCTTCACCTAACTCTCCAAAGGAGAGGCCTATAGTGGGCTCATCACATCAACCCTTCTCCGCTGAATCTTCATTCCAGCAACAAGGGAGTTCTCAACAGAAGAATTTGCGGCAGATGACATTGTTTGGTTCCCCAGCTCAGACCAACAGACCATTGGAATTATCACACACTGGGTCCCGTAGCTTACCCCTGGCTAACCATAACGAACTTCCAACACATCACCAATTAGATTTGACTACCATAAGGTCTTGGATATATCCGTCAAACTTGGGCAAGAGAAGAGAATACCAGTTTAACATTACCCAACGAGCTCTGTTTCACAATCTACTCGTGGCCCTCCCCACTGGGCTCGGGAAAACTTTCATTGCTGCTACTGTTATGCTGAATTGGTTTCGATGGACCAAAAATGCCCAGATTGTTTTTGTCGCTCCAACAAAACCATTGGTATCTCAGCAGGTTGCTGCATGTTTCGGTATTGCGGGGATACCCCGGTCTCAAACTGTAATGCTTACCGGTGGTACAGCACCAGCAATCCGGGTTGAGGAATGGCAGAGCAAAAGGGTTTTCTTTATGACACCTCAGACCCTTATCAATGATCTCAAAAGCGGACATGCTGATCCAAAACGGATTGTTTTGCTGGTAGTTGACGAGGCTCATCGTGCCACTGGAAGCTATGCGTATGTGGAAGTGGTGAAATTTATCCAACGGTTCAATAACAGCTTCCGCGTACTTGCGCTAACAGCAACTCCTGGGTCAACGGTAGAATCTGTACAAGAGGTCATTGATGGCCTTAACATTGCTAAAGTTGAAATACGGACAGAAGAGTCACTTGACATTCGCGAGTATGTTCATGCACGATGTGTGGAAATAGAGACTTTTCAGAATTCTGATGAGATGGCTATGTGTATGGACCTTTTTTCCAAGGCCTTGCAGCCCGTCTTGGATAAACTGCGAACTCAGCAAGCTTACTGGGGTAGGGACCCCATGGCTCTTACGCCGTACGGGCTTACGGTTGCAAGACAAGAGTGGATGAGATCCCCAGCAGGTAGAAGTGCCAACACTGGAGTCAAGTTCATGATAAATGCTATATTCACGGTGCTTGCCAGTCTAGCTCATGCAATAGATCTTCTGAAATATCATGGTATAGGGCCGTTCTATCGCAACCTCATTTCATTCCAGAGCTCCTCGAGTGAAGCTGGTGGTGCTAAATACCGCCGCCAAGTCGCAGACTGTGATAATTTCAAGATTCTGATGGCCAGAATGCGAGCGTGGACAAACAACGCAGACTTCATTGGACATCCAAAGTTGGAGTACCTAAAGCAGGTAGTGTTAAACCACTTTATGGATGCAGGAGATGGAGCTGGTGCTGCAGGTGGAAATCCTTCAGACACCAGAATAATGGTGTTTGCACATTTTCGCGACAGTGCAGAGGAGATCGTTAGAGTGCTGAAAAGGCACGAGCCAATGATACGTCCGCATGTTTTTGTTGGGCAAGCTGCTGCTAAGGGATCGGAGGGAATGGACCAGAAGACTCAGCTCGATATCATCGAGAAGTTTAAAAAAGGAATATATAACACCATTGTTGCTACTTCAATTGGCGAAGAAGGTCTTGATATCGGTGAAATTGATTTGATAGTGTGCTACGATTCGTCTGCCTCGCCTATTAGGATGTTACAAAGGATGGGCCGAACTGGGAGAAAAAGAAGAGGAAATATTGTCCTTCTTCTTATGAAAGGCAAAGAAGAAGATTCTTACATGAAAGCGAAGGATAATTACCAAAAGATGCAGCAGATGATTGCTAGCGGAACTCGTTTTACGTTCCACTACGATAAGTCGCCACGAATACTTCCCCGCGATATACAACCTTCAGTGGTGGAAATACGAATAGATATCCCAGCAGAAAATTCCACGGCTGATTTACCCGAACCATCAAAGCGTTCACGCGTTCCGAAAAGACCACCCAAAAAATTCCACATGCCTGATGGTGTTTTGACTGGGTTCACCAGGGCGTCTCGTCTTAACGGTAAAATTGGGGGAAATGACCAAACCTCCCGTACCCTTCCACCCAAAGTCGTTGAAACGATTGATGTACCCTCCTTGAATGAGGTTCTTCTCTCCTCCGAAGAACAGAGGGAACTTGAACATAGATATCGTAACATTGGAGGCACGACTCCCCAGTTCATCCGTCGACCGCGTGTCGATGCATTCCCAGACTTGCAAAGGTCATACCGCCCCACGAAGTTCGTGAAGCACGGGAACGTCACACGTCGACTTGTTAAAGCGTTTCGAAATATGAATTCTTTAACAGTAGACTGCGAAAACCGCTTTCGAGATCATCTACACCCCGACGACTTATTGCCTGTGCGGCATCAAACAACACCCTCCTCCACTCCCTCTGAAAGAAAAGGACAAGGCGCTAACTCAAGTGCTGGTGGAACACATACCGATCCACCCGACTTGGAACAACAGCAGGAAGAGGATGTCGATCAATCCCAGCCCTTTTCTCAGCTCTTTAGCTCTCCATATTCCCAGCAGCGTCCACCGCATAACACGTTTTTCAACTCTCAAGGTAGCGCACGGGATGATCCCGAGATCCCTGATGTGGATACCCTCTTTAAGCAGTTTGTTGGAAAGCGAAAGTCGGACCAGCTAAGTCCAGCACGGGAAATAAGAAAGAAAAAATATATACTTAGTGACGATAGTGACGATTTTGACATTTAGGATAATCGGCCTTGTCTTTCTTGGTCGAGTTCTGGTTGTGTTCATTCCCTCAGGTGAGAGATGGATATGCAACTATACATCACCATCACCCGGGAATATCCAATAGGTTTTATCCAGCGAGAGTTTTGATTTTCGATACTATTTTGATAGTGGCATAAATTGAATATATTGCATGTAGATACCCATAATAGTTGCATTAAGTTAGGGAGAATAGACACGCTTTTTGCTTGGACAATCCACACTGTCGCCACGTCCTTTTTTTCCTTGCCCCACGCACCTACGTTTAACTTGTAAAAGTAGATTACACCCAACCACCAACCGTTGGGATAATTATAAAACCAGAGAACTCTCTCCCCTTCGTATCTGTCACTGGCCCTGCTCTGTCTTCGTCTACAATCATGGCAGATACACAATTTGACAGCGCCCTGTAAGCATTGGACCTCTAATCCCACAAGTATACCTTCTTCCTGAACTTATCCATCCTATTCCCAACCCTCCGTAGCTACAGTTCCCCGCAACCTCACAACCCCGCCTAGATATCTACCACTACACAAACCAACCCAAGCTGCACAAAACTAACCTCTGACCCCATCTATCACGCAGCGACCTCCTCCGCCGCCTCTCACCGCGCGACACCAAACAGAACCTGCAATACATAACCACCCTCGTCCCCGACCTGACCGAAGATCTCCTCGCCTCCGTCGACCAACCGCTCGAAATCCGTCGTTGCGCCCAAACCAAGCGCGACTACCTGCTCTGCGACTATAACCGGGACGGAGACAGCTACCGTAGCCCGTGGAGCAATGAGTTCGACCCGCCGATTGAAGATGGGACTGTGCCCAGTGAGCGGGTGCGGAAGTTGGAGATAGCTGCCAACGAGGCGTTTGATGTATATCGGGAGCTGTATTATGAAGGCGGGGTTGGAAGTGTGTATTTCTGGGATCTAGATGACGGGTTTGCTGGGGTTGTTTTGCTGAAGAAAGGTACGGACATATATCCCTTTTTAAAGAAGCGCTCTGGGACTATGGGAGATATGAGCACTTGAATTCTGGCCAATTCCATTTCTTAGCCTAGATGTCAGAAAGGGGGATCAATCCGGGAATCCTGGCTCCTATCTACCCACTCTATCCCGCCCTTACCCACTCATCTGCACTTTAACCCCAATCTCGAGATAGAAGGCTAACAATATCCCATCTAGCAATCACACCCGGCTCCAAAAACTCTGGTGCCTGGGACAGCATCCACGTTTTCGAAGCCACAGACCGGGCGCGGACGTGTCACTACAAACTAACCAGCACCGTCATCTTACACCTATCAACCGGCTCCGAGGCGCTTGGCGAGATGGACCTGAGCGGCAACATGACGAGACAGATTGAGGCCGACATGGCAGTTGACGGGGACGCGAGCCATGTCGCGAATGTTGGGCGGTTGGTTGAGGATATGGAGTTGAAGATGCGGAATCTGCTACGTAGGTTATTCCCATAGTCGATTGGGGGTTTCATAATTACTTGTCGAGGATTTATTCTGATAAATTATTTACAGAGGAAGTCTACTTTGGGAAAGCGAAGGACATTGTTTCTGATCTGAGAAGTGAGTGCTGCGGCAATTCCCTTCGTGTCATCCATGCATGAATCTTCCGTCATGCTCTACATTTGTCGATAATTTTTCTTGCTGCTAATTTCTTTAAAGGCACCCAACCTTTGTCAGAGACAAATAGAGATCAGGCCAATCATCGGGAAGTCATTAATTCGATGAAGTGGTAGCATTATCACCCGTTGCATTTCTTTTCTGTTTAATAGAAATATCAACTCAATCACTGTTTTGTTGGTGATAAAGCGAATTTATCCTTTTTTTGCCCCTCTGTTCCCCTTTTCACGTCCCATTGGATTTTCTTCTTCTTTTTTTTCCCTCTTTTTTTCCCTTTTTTTTTTTTTTTTTTTTTTTTTTTTTTTTTTTTCGTTTTCAGCCCTTCTGTTTATTTCCCAATCAGCAAATGACAAGACATATGACAAGTTCTATTTGACGAACACATTTGTTCTCCGTGGCTTTTAAGCACGTCTTAATGTTTTAAATTTCAAGTAAATGGGATTTAGGGAAGTTGTAAGAATTCAAAAGTGGCTTCTCAAGTCTGTAGAGTAGAAAACACGCCCATCGGGTATGACCCAAATGCTTTGACAGACAGGGCGCAGTAATATCTGTACTCAAATAAGCATATCAATATTCCGGCCTGATAGAATGACTTTGTCTCACATTCATCATCCACATTGTCGAATAGGCACCATTGAAAGATATGATATGGTTTCTAGCTTTGGAATAAAATTCGGCCTTTCCCCAGTTCCATCCGTGCACCTAAGGCGGGGCATGTGGCAAGTCTGCCGTGCGGCATATCCAATCCCTAAAATGACGACCACGCAACAAATAACATTCCGGGAATGCAAAAGGGCGGTCTGAGATTCTCCATGAATTATCGACTGTAGCTGGTTTGACTGGAGTTGACTCCCTTCGAAAGGAAATCTTTAGCTGTGGAGCCCGTCACAATCGATTGGACAAGGGGGTAAATGGCCGGTGAGCTCCCTCAACCACATAATGCCGCTCTACAGTATCGTTTTATCAATAGAGATGTCCCTTTATCGACAAGTCTCAGCTTCATTGTCATGGCATTGCGGGCGAAACTGTTTGGAATGCCCCAAGTGTAGGTCCGGGATCAACCACTCAATCCACATCCATGGTTTCCATTTCCTCCGAAGAACCATCCCCATCCTCATCCCCCCCTCCAGATTCATTCCTGTATTCCCCTTTCTCCTTCTCCAGCTGTGTCGCAAACATGCTAGCTTCCGCCCATAGCTCTGCCTCCTTGTCCTTCCCAACCGTATCCTTTCGACTATTCAGCCAGCTGGTGTCAAGCGGGTTAATTCCTCCCGAAGTAGAAGCTGTAAAGGTAGTTGCCCCACCACCACCGCCTGCCGTCTCAGCTGAATCAGGTTTGATGATTGACGCCTCTTCCAGAGCATACACTTGGCGACGTAATCGTACATCAATGGACGAGAGCAGGGCGAAGTATTGGGAGCTCGCGGCTTTGAAAGCTGCTTGATGTGATTCTAGCGTCCCGTCAACGCGGGGGACTTCACTCGATGGTTGTCCTGCAGTGGCGGAGGAAGAATTGCTCAGCGAGCTTATCGCAACGCCTGCAGCATTGAGAAGCTTTGTTACGTCCTGTGAACTGTATTAGGTCTTCTCTGTCCATGTGCATGAAAACGTCCGTAGCTGAGATAAAAAAAAAAAACCTAACTTTGTCAATCTCATTCAACTGGCGGATTCGATCAGCTAGGGTAAGAACTTGGCTAGGATCTTGGGAATCCATTTGGCCCGTCTACTTAAAGATCAAGAGACTGTGTTAGATGTTAACAATTACGCCTTTAGTTGTATCTTTATCGCAGTGATTTACACACGTCTTCCTTCCTGCCAGAACGATGAAGTTGAATGTCACGTGATGTTTCCGTGTCGACCAGGGGGATTCTGAACGCTGATTGGCCAGCTCACAGACACTCCAGCCTGGATCTAGCCTGATTGGGGATAGCCCAGTATGTGACATCTTGTTCGTCCTTCAAAAACATCTCAACGCATCTTCTCATCCGCACAACAACACACACTGTCACTCCTTTCAACTTTCTATTGCCGACTTACAGCTCGTGCAAACCCCCTTTTGGAAATACTGTCTTTCTCTTATTACTCAAACATACCCTGATATCATCTACCACAGCAGCAGAGATCCAGCCACAATGTCTGCGCCTCCCGGGGCACCCAGCCCGGGCCCGCGAAATGCGAGCACAGGACCTGGCAGCGGGGCTCAAATGCCCCAGAACAATACGGCCCCTGCGTCTGCAGCGAGCCCTGCGACATCCGGGCCCCCATCTGGGGTAATGTCGCAACAGAATCTAAACCAAATTGTAGGTTGAATCCCCATTTTTAACTTCGCCCCCTTGATTAGCTAGGAATATTCCAAGGGAATGCTCCAATGCTGTGTTTGATCTGTTCTGTTGCCCCTACTCTTGAACTCTTGATTAGACAGGGGTTTGTGGGATAAAAATACAGCTGTTTGCGAATTTGCTGTTGCATGTTTCAGTTTACTTCTTATGTTCATATCCAAAATCTTCTTTTATTGCCTTCTTTGTTAATGGGGGCGTCTTGGTTTGCAATAAACACTTACTGCCTCTCCATTTTGAGTGGACTTTTGTCTGGCATACATTGTGCGCTTGGTGATTCCTAGCATTTCTTATGCTCATAAAGCTGCATGGCATCAACCGCACTCATCAAGACATAATCAGGGTATAAAAGTGACGAACCATTTTCATCCTCACAGAATGTGTGATCTTACATCCTCTGAACTCTTCCCTTTCAATTTCTTTAACCATCTCTCTGTTCAGCTGGAATATTCACTCCAAAGTATCTCACTTCTACTGTCTGCTTCAAGTGATGTCTCTTCCCCCTCTCTCCCTCTCTATTTTGGACTAGAAAATTTTGACAGCCTTCTTTTGCTTCTTCTACCTCTAGTTCCACTTCTCAACTATCTGCGCATGCTCTCTTTCTTCTGTTCTCATTTTCCCCCCCCCCTTTCCTCCAAGAAACGTGATCGTTTTAGACTATACAGCAAGGATAAGTCATGGCGTCCCAAGACCCTGGACTCAGCCAAGCTGAGGATCCTACTGCTCAAGAATATCTAAACCTTACACAGCGTGTACGTGCTAGATGAGACTATGGCTTATAATTCCTGTCTCAGTTTCTGTTTACGATATTATTATTATTGTTTATTTTGACGCGTTTTCATGTTTTGTTACTTAGCCAACGCACGTGCTATTTTCTTCTGATGGTTGCTGCTATTTTACGCGTTGGGCAGTGACTGATTATTTGCTCTGTGTTTTAGGTTATCGACTATCTGGCAAAGAAGGGATATACAAGGACTGAGGCAATGCTTAGGATGGAGTCTGCCAATCAGGAGATTGACGGCCGCCCTCTTCCACCTGCGAGCGAAGAGGCCCGCCCGAAATTCAAGTTGGCGTTTGGTGGGTACTTTCCCAAAGACCTCTCGCGACGAAGCTTACTTTTTGGCTATTGTAGAAATGACGAGGAAATGGATCGAAGACAATCTGGACATATACAGGGTACTATTTCCCACAGGTTTAGGTTGGTTTCGTTTTTCTAACGTGCTGTACAGCCGGAACTGAGGCGCGTTCTGTGGCCCCTGTTTGTCTACTCGTATCTGAGTTTCATCTCATCCTTGGTCCCTCTGGAGGGCCGCCAGTTTTTCGAGGCAAATAAGAACTTGTTCCTCCCTGAGCATACAGAAGATATTCGCGCTCTAGAACCAGTAAGCCTTCCCGAACATGTGCAGGAGAATAGCGTTGCGAAAATCTACCGTAACAACAAGTATCGTCTCACCTTAAGCACTCCGGCTTTTTCCAACCTCGTCCAGTTTCTGGAGAGCAAGCAAAAGGAGGGAGGAATGGTGATGCTGGCGATCTTAAGCAGCTACTGCACTATAGTTACGAAAGAGCGTGCCGCAGATGATCGTTTTAGCTTTGCTGCGATGCTAAACCGTGCGAATGATATTTCAGGAATCCCAGCGGAGGATGAGGGGATACCAGGCCACCATCCTGGATCTGCATACACTGGTGATAACCCTGCGATGGCTGGGACCCTTCCTAGACTCAAGCTTGGGAAGCTTCCACTGGAACCAACTCTCGAAGGAGATGTTCGTGCCGAACTTGAGGAAGCAGACGTCAAGGATCCGCCTACAGGTGGTCGTCCTTCTCTTGTTCAGCACTTTGAACAGATGATTAAGAGGGAGGAGGACGAAGAAGCTCCGACACGCGCTGAAATACCCTATCCGCCATCCCTCGCCCGTGACGTTGCCATGGAGGTGCAAAGGGTCAAGGAGAATCGCGATAGGTTTAAGATTGATGGCCGAACTGGAGGTGTGGGGCCTGCAATTAGCGTTTGCATGTTCACCTTCCACAATACGCATGATGGGTACGTTGAAAATATTTCATTACATTTGACTAGCTTCAAATGAATGTATTCTAACTATTCCTTTAGCATCAACTGCTTGGATTTCTCTGGGGATAGTATGCTCGTCGCTGCCGGAATGGCTGAGTCTTATATTCGCGTTTGGAGTCTTGATGGCTTGCCAATTCCACCAACGTACCCGGAACTGGAAAAGGATGAAGGGGCTGTACCCCCGGCAAACTCTCACCGCCTCTTTGGTCACTCTGGGCCAGTTTATGCAGTCGCCTTTGCACCATCTATCGCCAGTCCTGATGAGCAGGAGGTCAAGACTAATACCCGCTGGCTTCTCTCGTCGTCTGCTGATAAGACCATCCGTCTCTGGTCACTTGACCTTTGGCAATGTATGGTGATCTACAAAGGCCATGCATCTCCAGTTTGGGACATTGCTTGGGGTCCTTATGGGCATTACTTCGTCTCCGGTGGTCACGACAAAACAGCCCGTCTGTGGGTGACAGATAGAGTCCGCCAGCAGCGAATCTTCGCAGGCCATGACGACGATGTCGACTGTGTGGCCTTCCACCCGAATTCTGCGTACATTTTCACCGCTAGCTCCGACCACACCGTGCGTATGTGGGCTGTTACTACTGGAAATGCAGTTCGTATGTTCACTGGACACACCGGAAATGTTACCGCCCTCGCATGCAGCAATAGCGGCAAACTCCTCGCATCAGCAGATGATCAGGGATCCATCTTCCTCTGGGATCTTGCTGCCGGAAAACGTCTGAAGCGTATGCGCGGCCATGGGAAAGGTGGCATCTGGTCGCTTACCTGGAGTGCTGAGTCCACCGTCCTCGTCTCTGGTGGTGCAGATGGTACCGTTCGCGTTTGGGACGTCGCAGTTCCCGCCCAGGATCTAGCTAGCCAGGGACGTGTGATTGGCGAAGGAGGTGCAGGGACCAAGATCGATGCTGGAAACGCTACCGCGGCATCAGGCGCTCAGGCTACCGCTACTGGCGTTTCAGCGTCTAAGACTGCTAATAAGAAAAAGGGGAAGAAGGGTAAGAGTAAGGAGGTTGTCGTCACGCCTGATCAGATCAGTGCTTTCCCTACTAAGAAGAGTCCTGTGTACAAGACTCGTTTTACGGGGATGAATCTGGTTGTTGCTGGTGGCGCGTATATGCCGTGAATGTTTGCGGGGCTTCGATACAGGTGAGAATGGCTGGTGTGAACGTTTTGAGGGTCAATATCTGTGTGAATGATATATATTCTGCTCCTGGTTTCGCACGTATTACAGCTAAACGACGGCGTCTCTCTCTCCCTCAAGATCCCGAGATATACACTACAGCCACTGGCTACACTCACCTTCTTCCTACACTTGTTTTCACTTTCGTTTTTGTTTTTGTTATTTTGTTTTCTGGCGTACAGGCGATTTGTTTGACAGGGCATGGCGGCACTTATCATCTGGGAGGCGAAATCGGATGGCGATTTGGGTACTGGGATTAGCTTGTTGTTTTCTTTCCTGTCTATATTCTCCATTTCCTGGAATGATCTCTTGCTGTTTTCTCTTCTTTAAACAATTGGTCACATATATGACAATGTTGGTTTTTCTCTGGTTGTTTTCCCTCTTTTTTGCTATTGGCCACCTGGATGGCATGTTGGCAAAGCGTATGTATAATTATATCAAAACAGCTTGATCTATGATTTGCTCTTCCATGGATTTCAATGTTTTACAGTTTATTTAGAGCCCCTTCAAATCTCCATAGCGCGTAGTAAAAGCACACAAAATGAAGCCACAACACATTCCTTCTAATCTTACATCAAAAGCGCAATTGTTGTGATGAAACCGTGCAAGCCTTATCATATCAGATAATATGAAGTTAAAAGACGTCCATGAGCGCACCTAGTCAAAAACCCCGCTTTTTCCACGTGTGTGGTGGAAAACTATCATTGTTGCCGCTCCCACTTCCAGCTCCCTTCGCCATAGCTTCTGCAGCTCCAATGTCGCCCACTTTAGGTGGCAGAACGAGCGCGCTTCTATCGTTTCGTTTGTAGAAGTCAACAAGAATCTGCGCTGTTTTCGCGGGCTGGTCCTCCTGTATAAAATGTCCTGCGTCTGCGAACACTTGAAGCTGGTATTTGCCTATTGTTTTTTTTGTTCATTAGATTAGAGAAAAGTTTTAGCATGTAATTCATGTGCAGAGGTCTTCAAAGAAGCGATGCTTGGGAATGAAGTTTCAAGAAAACAAGAAAGGGAAAAACAAAGAGCATACCCTGCATCTGCCCAATTATAAGCTCCGTATCAAGGTGGTCTGTTCCAGCAAGTAATAGTAGTTTCCCTCCACGAGCTTCTAGGAACTTCTTGCTAAGTCCAATGAACCAGCTCTCCCAAAACGGCTTCGTGGCCGCTAGATCTGTACGCCACTTCCATGGTCGGGAGGGGTCTGCAGGATCTTCGCGGAGGAGAGATGGCACTGACACACGTGCAGACAGGGCATTGCGGATAGTTCGCGATCGGATGCTAGTTTTTAAATTAGATATAATGGAGATATTCAAAAAAAAAAATTAATTAATTAATTAATTAATAAATAAATAAAATAAAACAAAATAAAAATAAAAATATAAAATATAAAATATAAAACCAGAGGGAAAGTGGGGGGGCATGGGAAAAAGAATGCACGTACTGCCAATCAATCCCGGATGCTAATGACGGAAAGCCAGATGGGCGGGTGGAGAGATAAGTTTCCATACTTTGAAGCGCGTCCATCGCAGAACCTGAAGCCGTCAGCAAATCCCGATTACATTGAAATCGGAACGGGAAGAATGTTTCCTACCTTCAACAACATCCAAGACAGCATATGCCAACAGTTTCGATCCAAGTTTACCCTTTTTGGCAGCATCGGTGACGACAGCGCCGCCCAAACTGTGGCCAACTAGAACAAGATCTGGGAGAGATTCCCAGTTCATCTGTATTCGAGTTTGTTCCACGACAAAAAGTAGGTCGCGGGATAAAGCGTCTAGTTTTAAATCTAATTCGATCTGTTGATCGTCCTCAGCACCTTGGGACCTCGTAACAGAAGTTCTTCCATGGTTTAGCGCATCCAAGGATAGGACACCAGCAGAGGGAAGAATCTTTTTAATTTCTGCAGTGCATGCAGCAAAGGAAAGACCTGATGATCCCGCCCCATGGTGAGTGACGAACAAAGGCCCGTGGCCTGACGGTATGCTGATGTAGGCGTGGTGAGATACATGTAAACCGTCAACGTCTTCTTCCAGGAACAGTTCCCGGTCAAAGAAATCCATCCATGATAGTGGCGTAGCTTCTGCTCTTGCGGAGGACAACCTTTCAATATGAATCTACGGTTAGAAATGACTAATGCAGAAATGAAAGTGGAAATGAACATGCCAGGACCGTAAACAAAAATAATTAATCAAAAGAAGAAAAAAAAAAGATCATTTTTAAGAGATAGTTATATCAAGGAGATTTCCCAATCGAACATGTCAGCTCAGCCACTTCAAAATACCCTGATAAAAATCATAACCCCTGGAGAAGAGAACACTCGCCTACCGAGGAGTGCGTGCAAATAAGCTTTGGCTTGCCGATGGCCTCACTGTCCCTGTAGAAGAGGCGGATGAAGCTGAGGAAGAATCGTCATCATGCGGTTCATGATACACGGAGGCGATACTACCGTCGTGATCATTCTCTCTCTCCTCGCGTTCGTCGAAGACTGGTATCTCTGGCGGTAGCTTGGCCAGCCGAGATTTGGCAAACGATTTTTGAAGGTCGCTCATATTGGTTCCGTATACGTATATGGGGGGAGTAGAAGGGAGAGGAATTGAGGGGAAATACGGGAGAGGGGTTGACTAAAGCTTTGGAGGTTACGAAAGGAGCTTAAGCAGGCCAATACACTTAACAGTGGACATATTATATTTACCGTCAAGGAGAAGCCCTGCCTGCGATCCTGATTTCTGTAGGGATTTTATGGCAGAGACGAGCAGGTGGAGGCAACATCGATCAATTGAGGAACCAGATCGTTGCGTTTGGATGTGAGCGATTATTTTGCTGTTCGGAGTTTTGATATCGTGTTTTACCAGCGTGTATCAGCTTTACGATATATACCCGGTAACTTTGGAGTTTGGCAGCGCTCTCTAATACATGAATATCTCGGGACGAAAACCCAAAGCTTCTCAAGATAAATGCTTATTCTACGCTTTTGAGTGCTAGGGGACTATTTAGGGATCCAAAGTTTATCAACTCGACAATAGCAAATTCAAATAGTAATTATTCGGATCAAGATTGTGCCCAGAAGGCGGGCTTTATTCGGCTTACGAACCAAGTGTCAGGGGAGCGAAATCCAAAGCCAATATGAGTGAGTGACCTCCGGTAAACACTTGGGGCTTAGGAGCATGAATACGACGTGACGAAGAAGGGATGACTGCTATAGCATTCTACATGTTTTAGGATGGAGGATTGTTCAGCTTGACCCAAATCGACAGAAATCGACAGGGAATTGCAGTCCTTTGATGAACGAGCGCAATCCTTTCACCGCATGCAAAAGGTAGTTTACCAGCTTTCATCCCCAGGTCCATTACAATCTATGTGTTCAGGCAAGTTGCTCTCTTGACACTACACTACACTAAGAGAAGCTTGTAGGATTGTTGAGCTATGACGGAATTGGGGGAGAAAAGGAAGCAAAAGCATTGGCTTTTCATCCGATGCTTGACACACAAACCCTCTAAGAGAACGCTCAATTTCGAGGCAAGAGAAGTGCATCCTCAGGATACAGGGAAGCTCTCCACAGTCGGGTGGAAAATCATTCAGGAGGTAGCACAAAAGCATAAACCGGGATACGGCATATAACAGGCTCTGACGGAGTAGACGCTCGCAGCTATTCGGAGTAAGTAGTTACAGGTAATGTTGTCAAGGAACATCTCTGAGTGCTTGGTATCATCAATTATTGCATGTAGTGTTGGTCTGGACATGCGGCCTGGATAAATAATCTGAGAGAAAAGACAGGAGTACCACATGCTTTACATGCTATCCCATAATGAGGCTTTGCAGACACCGCCATGCAAATTTCTTTTTGAAACCAACCCGTCGCAATTAAACATGTCGACGCCCAAGGGGTCTTAAGCTGAAAAGTTGGAATGGATATGTCACGTGAATACCTTATTTATGGGGCTTGTTGTAGTGACGTCATCGGTGTCGATGATGATTGTTGATGCGAATCGGGTCGAAGAACGATAAAACAGGACTCAAAAACGTATGAGACCTTTCTTTGCCACGAAGAGAATTAAATCGTATAACCCGTACGCCTTTCCCTTCAATTTTGGTAAATCAAAATTTTAATATCACAATCTATACCTTGTGTATTTCGACCCAACAGCACAGGAAAATCTAGCATACAATACCAACATCGTATTCTTTACACTCATTTTTAAGGCTCGTACATACAATATATAAATTGTCATTCATGAATTAAACATCCTTCCAATATGTCCTCAATGTGGCGTTCGCGCCATCAAGAGACGGATGGCGCGGAGGAAGCAACACGGAGAGGAGACGACTTTCCAGAAAGAGGCCGCAGCGGAGACCGAGAGCCAACTGAGCGGTCGCGTTTGCTACCACGAAGACCGTATTTGGATCCTGATGACCCAGCTGTAAGACGTCAATATCTTTCCCTAGAGCTGCCAAACCTCTTTTCCATGCGATTGCATATACGAAGTGAACTCAAAAACTTAAAAACATTGAACAGGTCTCCCCATATAACCTTTGGAGCGTGCGGGCACTGCGAGGCCTCACGGTTCTCTTCCTGGTAATGACTTTTGCCTGGTGGGTGCTGCTGCTGGTATCACTCTTCGTCAGTCCACCGAAAATGAACAGCCGCGGGTCCGGGTTCTCCGACTTCTCATTTACGACTTTAACAATGAGCAACCTGTTCATTGCCCTGATATTCTTCTCCATTCCGTCGATGCCTATGACGATATGGGGTGCCTCCTTATGCCTGTTTCTAGCAGTGAACATGTTTATTGTGATCGGCGTACTGCGCCTACGAGTCGAGGAGGGATGGGTGGGCATTGCATCCGTCGTATGGGCGACAGTGATTTCACTCTACCTATTAGCACAGACCCGCTTCGTGGCATGGGGCAAACGAGAGGAGGAAGAACGCTTGACGGGCAGAGAAGAGA